GTGAAAAAAGACTGTGTCGGACAATGGAGGACAAGGATTGCCTCGTCGACAAACTTCCTCAACGCGGACCCGGCACGAGCGGCCGCTCGGTGCATGATAAGCAGAAACGATGCACCTTAGGTGCACGATTCATCCTTCATCGTGACAAGACCAGGAACTAACAAAAAGGCGCAGTTTACATTCATGACTTGACATGAACTCGGCCCGTCTACAATGCATGTTGCTGGGGAAGATCCATCAGGCTGGCGCACCCACGTTTCTGCTTCGCTGCTTTTTCTGTATACAGTCGTCTCCCTGTGGAGTTTCCGTATGACCCCGTCACACGCGCCTTGCCGACCTTCACGGCTCTGCCTCCTTTTACACCACCGTCTCACCTCGTTCGGACCATGTCACCCTTCTCCGTCTGTTAGCGAGGCGGCGGCGCCCCTGTGTCAATGTGCCGCCGGCCGAACAGCCGACCCTGGCGAGGTCAGGGACCGCCGAGGTCAGCTCAGAGCGCTGCCGACCCTCTGTCCCACTCCGAACCGATACAAAAGCGGAGCGGGCGCCCGGCAGCGCGGTGACCTCCGGTCGGCCGGACGAGCTGACCTCGGGCCGCGGCACTGCCGCCGTCAGACCCGCCCCCCAGCCGTTTTCACGCGTAACGCTGGGTTGTTTTCGATCGATAAACCATCGATGAGATCACCGTAATGCCGGTAATACCCTGGCGGCAGATACAATCAGGCAAACACCTCTGTCGTTTTGCAACGACACGAGTAGATTAATTGCCGCTCGACGTTTCATTAACCAAAATCGCTTACAAGGCCTGATGTAGCAATGGTCACTGCATGTTATTTTCACGCTACTTAAAGATCACGTTCCACGAAGGTAAATAATGAATTCTGAGAATATAAGTTGCTCAAATACAAGCGATTAGGTGTTTGCAAGCCATTGTAGTTTTCAATTGTATTTAGACTGACCAACATGCAAGTCATATAATAGAAAAGCTTCGCAAAGTAGCTTTCTCTTCCGCGAGCGTGATGCATTGTGTATCGGTGCCGCTTTTTCACGCGTTAGGCACAGCCATTAGTCAGTGACCTTGCCCTCCATTCGGGTGTTCCGGGCTTTCCTAGCGTCTACCGACCGCGCCGCGGTGTCTCAGAGTCACTAATTGGCCCCCATCAGCCCCCTTCCAGGGCAGTCTCCCCGCCGTGCCTGTCCCGGCGCGGCCACCTCCCGGAACACAAAGACGCTGTCCGGCCACTGGAACTAATCCGCCGCCCTGGGGCAGTCTGTTAGTACCCCTTCAGTCGAGCGACCCTCCAGCTGACACGGCTTTGTCGGCGGCACTTATGTCGTTTGTAACAGGTACTCAGACCGTTACGTTTGTTGGACAATAGCAACAATGAGGTGGCGGACGAGATAGGCCATTTGCTGGTTACGTGATCGGAATGGGGCGCGGCGCGTGCTAACGCTGGGCGCGGTCCACGGTGGACAGGTACTAAATAGCCAGCCTGATTACGGAGACAGAACTGAAAGGCGATGGATAAACTCCCTCCGATAAAATAGAAGCACGTTCGGCTTCTCCACACTGGCAGCTGAGACATTACTGGAGCTTAGGGCGTTGTTTTGTTACGTTATTTAAACTGCAGTCATCTCGCTAATCTCTAAAATGCTGCCACGGCGGAGCGGTGTTACGTTCTTGTCCGCCGTCGCGGTCTCCGCAGTGTTATTTTCATCCCCTGTCGTTGCAGTCTCCACCCTTAAGCTGGCACTTGGTCCGCTTTTATTGAGCTATTGTGCATCCCCATTCTCCACCTGACCTTGTGACAATGAGGACGGTGTCATTGAGGACAACGTGGAGCTTGGCGCCATCAGAGAACTCTTACATAACTACGTCAGAAGCCTGCCCGGGTAATCCCGTTACATGTTACGAACGGCGCTATTTGTAATCATTGAATGGGTTGGTGACAGTGCGTCCGGTGAGTGACCGATATGGTGGCTGATACTGCTCAAAACTTGATAAGCAGCATTTGACCCTGATAGAGTCAAAAGAGTCTCTTGTACAATGGCTCAGGTTTTCACTGAAGGGCTATTTTTATCTGACAGTGAAACGTCACACAACGAAGGTCGTCCTCTTCTAATTACCTTTAGCGGATACAAGGCAGCATTTTATTCAGATTACATTGGTTTTTATGTTTCATTTTGCACGCAGAAGTCAAATTTAACGTGAAGAAAAATTATGATTTTTATACATAAATGCATGGCACTAAAGAATATTTTACGGCAACATTCCATTTGCTCGCTGTGTAAACAAATGCAAACAAGCTTTTTTCTATTGGTATCAGGTAACTTTTTTTACAAAATGCCTATCTCTGCTTACGTGTAAAGGACAAAGGTTTGCTTTTAACCCTCGCCCGTAAACGGCGATCTGCCACCTTCGCCCATGCAGGGGGGGGGGGGGTTGGTGCGACCCCCCCCCTTGGCGTTTGAAAACGGAGCGTCGTAGAGCTTAGCGGAAAAGACCAACGGATTGCTCTCGCCGAGATCTCGCGATTGGTGGTATATTTTTTGGTCCTAGGTCAACATTTGACCTACTTTTGACCGGTCAAAGGTCAAATTTTCGGAAAAATACTTTTTTCAACTTTCCGCGGCGATTGCGGCAAAACGGTGGGCGATATCGACTTACAACCTTCACTATCGTGTTCCTTGATCAATTCTCTATCGTTTGGTATGTATTTCGTTTCCCTAGCTCTAAAAATGGCGCGTTGGGAGCGCCGGAAGTTGGCAAGGTCACAGTCGGCGGCAGAAATTCGAAAAATCAAAATTTAAATTTTTGAAATCTGATTGTATTTTTGGATTTGGGAGGTCCATTTGCTCCCTATAGAAGCTAATATTGCTGCATACTCCCATTGAGGTGACAAGAATTAGCAAAATAGTGGTTCGGGCGCTTTTCAAAAATAGTACCGGACGCTGTTCCTCTTGTGACGTCATAGCTCCGTGACCTGACCTGACCCGGTCAAGTTTCTTATACCATATGATAGCCAATACTTGCCCCAACATGCATGGGAAGTTTCATCACGATCCATCAACCGATGTCCGTACCACCGGCAGGAAACCTCGGGCGTTGGCACTCAGTTTGTGAAAATCCGGCCGGAGGCTGTTCCCTTTGTGACGTCATAACTCCGTGACCTGACATGACCCGGTCAAATTTTTTTTATCAAAAGATGCGCAAGGTTTGCCCCATAGGGTACCCAAAATTTGGCGGCGCTGCGCGCCGCCGTTTTTACACTATTTCCGAAAAACCTCAGGGGGGGTTGCACCAACCCCCCCCCCCTACATGGGCGAGGGTTAATAGACAGCAGCAATTTTACCGGATAGTGTTTAGCTACTGTATGTAAGTACATAAGCCTTCGGTTATGCAGCGATGCCTAATGCTAGCGTTTCAACTGGACAGCCTTCTCCAAAGGCTATTCGTATTACAGCTGTCGCAGAAATTCAACTTGACTGTATCTGAATATGTTTGTCAAGACCATTGCATAAAAGTGAAGCCTCGCTATAGCATTATCATATCACCCAATGACAGAAAGCGCCATATTTCACTTTCTAATCTCCAAGAACTTGCCGACAAGCGCAGTTACAATGGGCGATTCTTTCTGAGTCAGCGTTTGTTTGATATGATTCTTTTGACAGCCAACCATTACCGTGGTGTTTTAACGTTCTCCTTTTGGGCGCCACCTTGTCATTAACCGTACCGACCCGCTGTAAAATTGAACACAGTCAGACGCGGCCTCCAAGGACATTGTAATCCGGCCTCCTGTTTTGGAATTGAAAGAAGGATCACTCCGTCATGTCGTCACAGTGGTTCGGTTGACACAAAGGCGACACGAAGCGCAACGACACAGAGTTCGGAGACACTGCACAATGACATTAGGTGGCGACACGCGCCAGGCCGCCTCTGTCTCAATGAATAAAGAGTCCTGGCCCAAACTGAAAGGATCGGTCTGTGTCATTACCTGGACGGGTTGTTGTTGTCTTGTTGCGTGTCGTTTGGCGTGGCTGGACACGCGTTTACCGACCTGATTCCGTGACCAGTGAGCACGCCTGGCTGAGGCCGAGCAACGGGGATGACAGAGGCTGTCAGGAGCGGAGAGAGAGAGAGAGAGAGAGAGAGAGAGAGAGAGAGAGAGAGAGAGAGAGAGAGAGAGAGAGAGAGAGAGAGAGAGAGAGAGAGAGAGAGAGAGAAAGAGAGAGAGAGAGGAGAGAGGGAGAGGGGGAGAGAAAGAAAGAGAGGGAAGACTGTGAAGGACTGAGGAGAAACTGTGAGACTGTGAAGAGGCTACGAGGGACAGGGGACTGTGAGGAGCCGTAAAAGACTGAGAGAATATGAGAGAGAACTTGATGACAGGTCCCGAGCCAAGCGCCGTGAACGACCACTGATGGAAGGTTAATTGGCTTTCTTCGCACTACCCGACCTTCATCAAGTCTCCGCCTTTTATGGAGTTAACGGTCAAGAAGCTCATTAACCTTTTTATACCATAAGCGGCTTTTTGCTCTTCCCTTGAAATAAAATCAGCACGAAGGCGAATGATGCTGTCCTGGATGACCCTTGACGAACAAAAGGAAGTCAAAAGTAAGAAGTAATTGTAAGAAGTAATTGGGCTTCTTTAACACACATTTTGATATGCCAGAGAGCCTCGATTCAATTACGACCTTTGTAAACTAGCTGAGAGGAAAACCGTTTCATATTGTCGCCATCTTCCGGCCTCCACAGCTCCCAATTGCAGTCGTGCAGCGTGTGCCACCTCCGGCGACACTGCCGACCGACGGTAGCCCTCTATCACGACGTCTGTCATCGCGCCCTGCCCGCTGCAAGTAGTGTGACGTCACAGGCCCGTCTAACGGGTGGTGAGGGTGGCGGCCGCAGTGCCCGCGGCACTCGGCCCGCGCGCCCCGCCGACCGCGCCGTGTCGGCGTGTCGTGTGTTCCAGTGTTCCAGTGTTCCAGTGCTCCGGCTCCTGTGTCCCAGCGTTCCGGCTCCCGCGTGTGTCGGCTGGTGTTACCGGTGTTGTCCGCCGCTCTCCCGTCTCCCGGCCGGCTGATCCCCTGTGAAGGGCGCTGCCTCCGTCCGACGCTGCAGGGACAGGGGAGTTGATAACGGTACAGCCCACCACCGGCTTCTGTGCCCTACTCCGCGGACCATAAGACAGCGCGGCAGTCTGCCGCGGCGCCGCGCCCCGCACACCCCCGCCGGCGCTCCGGGCTCGTCTCCGCAGCAGTGGCTGATAGGAGGAAAACTGGACTTGAAGTCAGTGAGCAGAGAAGGAAAAGCCCGTGGCAAGACCGAATCAACTGGATCGCCTATTGACCGGCAGCAATGGTGCGAAGGACCATCTAGAAACAGGGTCAAGACAGTGATAAATTCTGCAAAGAAATCTGAAGTCGGTTTGGAGGTTGCATTGCAATGCACCACTGATTGCCTCGAACAGTGAACAGTTCGCCAAGTCACACCCACCATAGGTCATCCTTTCACCCTCTCTAGCCGCTTGGTTCTCGCCCAAGTTGTCCGGTCACGAACTGGAGCATCCGCCCACGTGCTGCAGGCCGAGCTCTCCATTCACTGCTGTTCATTCTCTGTAAGAGGATCTGGTGTCAGCAGCGGTCACTGACAGGTCAAGATGAGCGGATAAGTCAACAGCAAGTCGGCGTCACCAAAGTTTCCAGTGCAGGTCACTTGAGTAAACAGGAAAACTCGCCAACGATTCGGTGATACGCCAGCGGAAAGCCATCATTTCTTGAAGCGTCAATAGAGCGTCAGGTCACCGTATCGTCAGTTCACCAAAAGGTCACCGACAAGTCACCGAAAAGTGAGCAACAGGTCACTGTCTCGTCACCGCCAGCTCACCCACAGGTCAGCGGCAGGCCGTTGCCGTCAACTCACCCACAGGTCAGCGGCAGGTCAGCAACAGGTCACTGTCCTGTCACCGTCAGCTCGTCCGCAGGTCAGCGCCGTCAGTTCACTCACAGGTCAGCGGCAGGCCGTTGCCGGCACCTGTCCGCTGGGGCGCTGAGCGGCGGCAGGTGCCCGGGTCGCCGTCCGCAGCTCGGCGCGTGTGACCACTCTTCCGCACCAGTTGTCGTCCCGCTCGGCGGTGTCTCGGTCCGGCGGCTCGACTCGGCGCGGCGGCGGCAGTGGCGGCGCGCCGGCGGCAGTCCCGTCGCGACCGTGCGCCAGACAGCAGCGCCGGCGGCACCACCCGGCTCTCCACGGCGGCTGCCCCCGGGCTATGGGACAGGGCAGTCATGCGCTGGCTCGCGCTGCTCTGCTGTGTGACCTGTCTGCGGGCGGCTGCTGCGGACTCGGCGGCCGGTGGGACTCTGGAGACGCCCCGCTCTTGGGGAGTGGCCGTCAGGAGCCGATGGAGGGGCGAACAGGCCGTCGGAGGCGGCTGGGGTGTGTTTGTCAAGAGCCAGCGCCGCGCAGATACTGGACGAACGCGGCCTCTGCCTGTAATCGGGAGAGATGAAGACTTCCTACACGGGCAGCGGGACCAAAGCTCTGCCTACCAGCCCACATCAACAGCATTTTCATCAGATATCACCGCCAAAACCCGGCAAGGAAGTGACAGTCTTCAGAACGTCCTCAGCACCAACTTCAACCAGACCCGTTCAAGCGATGACTCTGACTCCGACTCGGTATACGGCTCCGCTCGAACGGCGCCGTTCTACGCCCGCCTCCAGCTGGATTCGAGTCTTCCTCTGCGTACCGGCGGACCTCTGCCCGACACTCTGAACCTGACGTTCACCGCCGGCGGGCTGCGGCACCGGCTGACCCTCCGACGCGCCCCCAGTGTGCTGGACCCAGCCTTCCTGGTGCTGAGGCGCGGCGCCAACTCCAGCTCTGTCTCCGCTCTGGACGACGGCTCGGCGGCGCACGGCTGTCTGTACCGCGGTGAGGTGACCAGATCTGACCTGGCTGAGCCCGGCTGGGCGGCCCTCGATCTCTGCCGGCATCTCACCGGCGCCATGAGGCTCGGAGGTGAGGATCTGGTGCTGGAGGCTGCTCCGGTGGAGTCGCGACACGCGCGCGCGGCGGACCCCGCCATGATCGGTCCGCAGACACTGCGCCGCGCGACGACACCTCACTGCGGCGTGCATCAATCGTCAGCAGCACCTACCTCGTCATCATCGTCCGGCCGGCGGCGGTGGCGGCGGCGCGCCGGTCGTCGGCCGCAGTTGACGGTCGAGCTGGCCGTGTTCGTCGACCTGGCGCTCCAGCGTGTCATGCGGGACCTCTACGGCGAGCACACCGACGACGAGATCACCCGCTACGTGATGACCATGGTGAACGCCATGGAGCTGCTCTACGACGACCCTTCGCTGGGCCGCAGCGTCCGCTTCGTGCTGAAGCGGCTCGAGCTGCTGGAGACGTCGCCACAGGAGTTCCAGCAGGAGCGTGACATCAACGCCTTCCTCACCAGTTTCTGTCGGTGGCAGCAGCGCGAGAACCCTGCGTCGGACGCGGACCCGCTGCACTGGGACCACGCCGTGCTTCTCACCGGTGAGGATCTCTTCACTGCCGACAAGGCCAGTCGGGAGGTCAACCGGCAGGTGGTCGGATTTGCGCCCGTCGGAGGCATGTGCACCGCCGCCAGCAGCTGCACCGTCAACGAGGGCAAGGACTTCGAGTCGGTCTACATCGTGGCCCACGAGATCGGCCACAGTCTCGGTATGCATCATGACGGTCAGGGGAACGAGTGTTCTGAACAGGGCCACATAATGTCCCCGACGCTCGGATCGGGAACGAACACCTGGTCCGCGTGCAGTCGAGAGTACCTGAACAGATTTGCAGAGACGCGCCAGGCGCAGTGTCTTCTGGACGCTGGCGGCGGTGCGACCAAGCGCTCTCAGCAGCTCAACTCCCTTCCGGGCGAGAAGATCGGTGCCGACGAGCAGTGCCGGCTCAAGTACGGTCCGGAGAGTCACCGTGCGCGCCGCCAGCCGCTGGGGGAGGTGTGCGCCAACCTGCACTGCAAGCACGACCACCACCGCTGGACCAGCCACCCGGCGCTGGAGGGCACCGCCTGCGGCTACGACAGCTGGTGCCGGCGGGGCCGGTGCGCGCCGCGACTCCCGCAGACGGCAGATGTGGACGGCAGCTGGAGCGCCTGGGGAGAGTTCTCCAGCTGCGCCAGCTCCTGTCTGACCGGAGGGAGTGTGGGGCTGAGGAAACGCTCCCGTCGCTGTGACAGCCCGTACCCCCGCGGCTCGGGCGCCGCCTGTCCCGGCGGAGCGCGTCAGTTCGAGCTGTGCCCAGACGAGGCACTCTGTCGGCGCGTCAGCCACAAGACGGTCGACGAGTACGCGCAGGACATCTGCGGCAAGGCGGCGCGTCAGGACGACATTCTGACGGGCCGCGGCACGGCGCGCACGGCCAGCAGCGCGCGCCAGGCGTGTGCCATCTGGTGTGAGAGGCGCGGCGGCGGCCTGCAGCGTCACCGGCAGGCCTTCCCAGACGGGGTGCGGTGTCAGCTGCGCGGAGCCGACCGCGAGCACCGCCACTTCTGCGTGGACGGCACGTGTCAGCGGTTCGACTGCGGGGTGGACTCGCTGTTCCTGACCGGCTCGGCTGGCTGCGGCCGGCAGCAGCTGCGGCAGCTGGCGGTGCCGGAGGTGCCCCGCGCGCCGCCCGCGCCGCCGGCCCGCTCCGAGGGCCGCTGGTCGCCGTGGAGGTCCTACTCGCGCTGTCGGTTCCAGTGCACCGCGCCGGCGCAGGGTCTGGAGCTGGTGCAGCGCTCCTGTGACCGGCAGCCGTGCGGCGGCCTGGCGCGCTCAGTACGCCACTGCACGCCACGTCTGGACGGCACCGACTGCCGCTCCCTCCACACACCTTTCGAGTTCGCCTCGGCGGTGTGCCGGCGCTACAAGGAGCAGCTGAGCCTGGCGCAGCTCTCCGGGGTCGGCCTGCAGCTGGACCCCTCCGCCGAGGACCCGGACCGGCCGTGCACGGTCACCTGCCAGGACCGGGACGCGGCGCTGCGCTTCTACCGCGTCAAGGGCCGCGACGGCTGGTTCCCCTCGGGACTGGACTGCTCCCGCGGCGAGGCCGGCCGAACCGCCTACTGTCTTAGCGGCAAGTGTGTCGACTTTGGCGAGGACGGCACGCCACTGCACGACGCGCGCTACGACTACGCCTTCCTCTTCGAGTCCAGCTTCCGCTACCACCGGGTGACGCGCGACGCGCCGCCGCAGACGGCCTCCAACAGCTCGAGTCACGAAGAGGCACCTCTCTCCCGGCCTGGTGCCACGCGAATCCGAGGCAGCGTGGACCGCGAGTTTATCCAGCGTGTGATCGGAGACCTACAGAGGGAGGAGAAGCTGTCGGGGAACATCAGCGCGGCAGACATTGACATGCGTAACCCGCTGCTGCTGGCGAGTCTGCCTCCAGAGGCCAGCCGGGGGTCGGAGGCACAGAACGAGCTCAGCCACGCGTTCGCGATACTCGAGCCTGCACTGCAGGTAACAGACGGAGCGGAAGGAGGAGAGGGAGAGAGAGGAGAGAGCGGAGTGGTAGCCCCCTCCGCTCCAGGGGTAGAGGACGGAGAGCAGGCGCCGCGGACGTCCGCCGGGCCGGTGACCGCGGCGGGGCGATCAGCGGGGTCACCCACCCTCCCGGCGCTGGTCTGGAGCGGCGCCATACCTCTGATACTAACAGCGCTCCGCCTTCTATAGGCCCATATCGCCCGCCGCGATTTCCATGACAGGTGCCGCCTGCGTGGGCGGCACACTTCCTTACCGGTCGACCACTCGCCCGGTCGTGGTCCACTAATTGAGGAGATTGATTATGGCCCGGCGCCCCGACCGGCGGCGCCAGGACGGACGCCGAGAGAGCGCTGAGTGATTATCTGACAGAGCGACTGTATTTACGCCTGATTTACATGAATAAGAGCCTGTCGTCTGATGAAGCGATCGTTAATGAAAGTGATTCGATTGTCAGAGAAGTGTTAATTAAAGACTTGTGGACTAGATGTAGTGATGATTGTGAGCGGGAGGCATTCGAATGGATGTTGTTATGGATCTTGACCGGCGCGAGAGGCGACTAGTTAGGGTGCTGTGTTGCAATGAAGTCTCTGTGTAATGGCTGTAGCCCGTCGTGAAATACAATAGCGATATGTTTACCGATACTCTGGTGTTTGGCCCGAAAACCACCTTCAGGGCATGCTTCATATGAACTTATCTATCAATTCATTTACTCGATTACACTTCAACCTAATAAGAGAGTTTGTCATCGGCTCATGATGAAATCCTATGAAGTTAATATGAGTGCGAGTTTGTCACCAAGCAACAAATCCACATCCAATGAACAACGTTGGTCGCTGCAGATACCTCTACGGAACTCATTTTCATGTCTGGACTGAACCGTGAGTTACTATGGGAATACGCTGACCACAGCTGACCACAAACATGATAGCCTCACGCCACATAGCATAGCCCGGCGGCAAAATGGTGGGAACTTATCAGAGACAGAGATAACACGGTTACGCCGCCTATTCACTGACGCACACTAAAATTGTTTTCTGCTATTCTTTGACGGCACGCATCTGAGCCACCACGGACTAATAACGCTAGCGAATGTGTTTAACATAAGTCCATATCAGCACATAACATCACATCGATCCTGATTATTTTCAATTAACCTCGCCCGGCTGTCATTTCTCGGATCTCTCCGGCATCTGCCCTTGGCTCAGTGATACCGATCTGACCGAGTTGGGCCGGCGGACTCCCCTCTGATCCTCACACCCTGACGGGCGGGGCCGTCCCGTTCCTCTGTGCTCCATACGTGACGCCTCGGACGGGGTCGGGTCAGTCTGGGCCTGCGCAGTCTGCAGAGGGAACGGGCAGGCGGGGCCGTACCGGGCGGGTCCGTGCGCTCGGGCGGGGCAGTTTCGTGACCGCGGCCGGCGCCGTGACCGACCCCGGGGTGCGGACCGTGACCTCGGCCGGCCCCCGGTCAGCACGGCCGGACAATGGACCCGGTGCCGGCCGGGCGGCGACCACCGCCGGCCTTGCAGCCGTCACGGGCTGTCGGCCTGAGCCGTCTCCGACGGGGCACGGCCGGGGTGCGTGTCGGCCGCGTGACAGACCAGCCACCGCCGGCTGCCGGCCGCATGACAGACCAGCCACCGCCGGCTGCCGGCCGCGTGACAGACCAGCCACCGCCGGCTGCCGGCCGCGGGACGGATCAGCCACCGCCGGCTGCCGGTTGGGACAGAGCGGCACACGCCAGCCGTGGGCCGCGACACGCCGTGGTATGGACTAAATGGGGGAAGAAGTAGGAAAGCTGGAGACTAAAGTAACTTTTGATGGGCTTTTTGCAGCATTTAACTTTCTGAAGTGAGCGCAGTAACTTCTTCATAACCAATGCAACACATACTTTTTGACGAAAGTTGAAAACATATATTTGCTTTCGATCGAATCTTACATGAAAGAGTTCAAATACTACAGAACCGTTTTACCTCATATACATGTGGTATCAGTTATATCAAGGACACCACACAGTGGAAGGGTCCTCCAGAAGCATATGCAATATGCATATCCTGCAACTGCACTATCCCGCACCACACTGCAGTACCGCCCGCCGTCCTGCAATCGCCGTCTCCGTTACTTCAATGACGCACTGTATCCGCCTGCGGCTAACGAGGTGCCTTATTAGGCTCATTATGAGCGCCGTAAGCTACGGCCGACGTCCGGTCCTTTGTGGCAGCTCGACCGACCCCGGCTCGTCGGGCTGTAACTGAGGGCCAGACACCGGCGGGGGTGTGAGACCCGCTGGTGAAGATCCTTGTCCTTTGAGGGCTGCTGGGAGAGTTGGCTGTGTTAGCGTGTCTGAGGAGGCGAGACACGTGTTCCATAGTGCGACTGGAGAACGGCTGAGGTTTGCAGATAACCGTGGTAGTGGCTTAGATTAGCAGGTTACATGTATCCAGCATAGAAACAGCGAGGTGGGGCTAGAGAGGCTAGACGACCGGACGCTGTCCGATACGATATTTTTGTACCGTCAGTTGTTTACACAAAATATAGCATCAACCGGAAACGGGGCAATTAGGACTTCCTACAAACTAAATAAGGATAGATGCCTGACTACAGGTCTGCGTATCGCTTCTAGCGGCTCAACAAGCTACCAGAATGTGAACGGAAAAGCTGCAGCACCTCGTGTGGTAACAGGTAGCGAAAGTCTCTCAGTGAGCACCGGGGCAGGCGTGAACTCGGCGCCCGGTTTCACAGAAGTCCCCGTCCGTGACTTATTGCTTCAGCGGCAATTGAGTGTGATAAACCCGACTCCCCTCTGCAACGAGCCCAGAGACTGGCAGGGAACACTTCAGCGGCGCACCTCAGGTTACGCCAAGTTCGGGAATAACCCTCGGGGAGCGGACGGTAACAAAAGGATCCCCAACAAATCCACAACGGAGTCGCGATGAATGCACAGCATTTCCATAGCGAGTTCACGGCGGAATCACATCCAGGATTCACGGAAACGTAAGTCTGGTCCCGGTCACGACCATTCGCGGTTACCCGGTCACGGATAGCTGCTCTCCTCCCTCCCTTCCTCCTCCCCACTTGGCACGGTATAGCGGCCCGCGCCGGATGTATTTATATAAAACCGGCGCGCCCTGCAGAGCCCCCGAGCGTGTCCAAGACTTCCGCGAGGTTCGTGCCTCACTCGGCGAGCTTTTTCATACAAACAGTAACAAAGGAACGGGTTAGAACGAGTCTGGGATGGGTCTGAGAGGTCACACCGAAGCTTCAGTGTGAAGTAAGGTGAGGATTTCGGAAGGACAGCGTCCCTGACGCGTGAAGTGGGAGCATCAGCGCCCACCTGCGGTTTTGGGCGACCGAGGAGACGGCGGTGCCACTCCGTGACGCGGCAGGGACGCCCGTCACGGCGCCGTAACGCGTCACGTCACGGTACTGGCGTGACGCGGATGGCGGAGTGACACACGAGCCAGCGCTCTACGGGGGTGAGGCTTCTCTCATTTCTGCGGGTTGTGATGACGCTAAAAGGTCATCACCACACGAACTGGGAACGTCGACAGGTAGTCGCAACCAGCTCCGTTCCGGCTCCGTGGATGGGCTGATTCGCTGCGTGAGTCCTCACAGAGTCTTCACAAAGCGGCACCGGTAGGAGCGCGACCTCTGCCGCGGCTGATTGGCTGCTTGATAACCGTCATCAGCCGCCGCTAACCCGTTCGTGATTGGTCGGACGACCCGTCCATTGTCACAGGGAAGTGACGCTTGGATTGGATTGGCTGTAAACTGAACACTTCAGCACTCGAATGGCGCTCAGCTGTTCAGCATGACTCACTAATGGAGTTATGTTGATTGTTACCACGTGTTCATTACAGACAAAAGTAGGCTAATACATTCATGCCGATGTCAGCTGGGAGCTTTATCAGGAGGAGGTATGCAAGGTCGATTACGTAATACCATGACCATCCTCCCTCCCTCCCTCCCTCCCTCCCTCCCTCCCTCTCTCTCTCTCTCTCTCTCTCTCTCTCTCTCTCTCTCTCTCTCTCTCTCTCTCTCCTCTCTCTCTCTCTCTCTCTCTCTCTCTCTCTCTCTCTCTCTCTCTCTCTCTCTCTCTCTCTCTCTATCCTAGAACACACACCCAGCCAGCCCCACACCGCCGGCACACCCAGTCCGAGACCTGAGCCTGAGCGGAGAGCTGCGTTTGTTCCGCGCGGCCTCAGCGCCGATCTCCTAGCGCCATGACCGGCGGCGTAGCACGTACGCGCTCGCTCTGCTCTTGACACACTGACGAGCGGCCGAGTCAAGGCCAGCCTGCCCAGCCCTCCGCCGGCAGAGATAGGATGAGCGGACGACCGACCAGCCGGCCGGCTCTGGTGCTCAGTATGCGCGCCGCAGGACGGTCCGACGGGCGACGGGCGGCTCATGGCCAGTGGTCAGCCCGGACGGACCGCCGCGCGGCCTTTTATGGCGCTGGTCGGCCCCGCTCATGGTGACGCAGGAAGTGGGCCTGCCGGACGGGATCCTTCGTAGAGGTTCGGGGCTCTGGGGCTCACTAAGGCATGGCAGGGGTGTGGAAGCCACCATGGGTCACATGCTGAAGGTCGAGGCGTACTTCCTGAACGAAAGCATCCAAAGTTGAGGCTAGTGTTATTACAAACGATTGCAAGTGTCATATGACCCATGGAACCTAGTTCAAGCTCATGGCAACATGATCGCTTCGACGTCATTGCACTCCTAAAAACACCAGATCCATGTCTGCACCTGCTGTGTGTTGGTGAGACCGGTCCCATCGACCACAAATGGCCTGCCCATCGGCCCGGAGACTGGTCAGCCGGCGGTGTCGGCGCTTCGGTCCATCGGCGACCATATCGGGCCCGGTGTGTTCACCGATTGATCCTATCAGAGACCCCGGCCAGTCCGATGGCAGAGTGTCGCCAGCACGCACCCTCCGCCGGAGGTGTGTGACACTCCTTACCGAGCCGCCTGCGGCTGTTCGGGGGTCCCGCTGTCGTGTTCATCAGCTGATTCCCCCAAAGTCCGTGGTGCTCCAAGCTGCATGTAACTTCACTTCCAGATATAGGTTCACACAACACATTATACAGGGTAGCAACAACTTATGGAAACGTTCACTGGTTGCATTTTACATCGATCGGGGATAGGTATTTTATCATGTTATCAGCAGCGCTGAATGAAATCGCTCAAGGGTGAGCATATGCGTATGCATGATAGGTACTTAATACGGTCGACGGTCATTTCATTTCCTACCAAAGGTCAGGTAGAATAAATATGACTGTGCTGACAATCCAGATTATAAGGTTATTTCAAACTCACAGACAGACACCGAATGAACTTATTTCACGTGCATCCCAAACGTCTATTCGTACACAGGGTAATACAACATAAAAGTGCGATTACAAATTACCATCTGCCTAGAGAGGCTTGCTCACTCCTTTAAGTACACATTTGCTCGGTTCAGCAATTAGTAACAGACTCTGCAGGTTTCAAATTGATGAACTGGCTACCGTGATAAAGTAATCTGACAACAGCGCATCGCGGTCAGAACAATGCTTCTGGACGAAAGTCGGGGTAAAACAAAAGGCGTCCGGGCGCAGAAGAAACTGTTAGCGTTACACAACACTGGCACTGGACCAACGAGTTTGGAGGGGCCGTTTATAGCGACCGGCTTACCATCTCAGAGCCGATGTACGATACAAAACAAGGGGAAGCTTATGTTCCTCACCCTCTAAAAAGGCAAATTCAGGACCTTCCCGACAGGCCAGACTGACCGAGAGCCACCCCAGCACGGCAGGCGCCTCTGTGTCCGGCTCCTGGCAAGGTGAAGGAGAGAGGCACGCATTGAGGTCAGCCCTAAACCACAGTCAATCAACGCACGTCTTAGGTAACGCGGCAGCAGGCTGTTTTTCCAGCCTCGGCATCACCGAACGTCCGTCCGCCATTAGTTTCGGCTGTTCGCCTCAGCTGTAAGCGCCTGCTGTTTTTGTCAACACATTCCATAGCCTGCTGGTAAGAACGCTCACATTATGACACCAGTCATTTATCATATCCCAGAATGTGGGTCATTACGTGCTATCATTACGGTTAGCTTAGCCGAGACCCTGAGGGTCGCCGCTATTGTTTGCTGGCTGAAATGTCCTCAGGCCGGTCGTATACTTCCGAATTAGCCACCTGAATGACACACCTGCACCCTTAGTCTCGCAAGCCCCTTCTATGCGAGCGTATATCGTCCTACCAATTTATCTTCGGTATACCTACAGTCAGTTCCTTTTCTCCATTGACCATCCCAGTTCTACTTCAAGAGTATTTATCTCCCATTTATCCTCCACTGTCGAACCCTTCCCTCCATTTATCCCTTTCTTTTTAATATTCTGCCACCTTCCTCTCTTCACAGTTTGACCTTTCCCTCTTCAGACTGATATCTCCCCCAATCCAACCCAACCCATTTCTGCAGTCTGGCCCACATGACCCTCCCACTGACCGGCTGGCCTTGATCCCCCACACACGCACACACATTTCGTGTCCGCTTTGTCACGCGACTCTCCAGTCATCTCTCGGCGGAGGCTGCGACCTGCTGACCTGACCGACTGCGTGAGGTGCGTGTCAACCTCTGACCTCCCTCTCTGCATGTTACAGGTGCGTGACCTGCTCGAGCGGTGCACGTGTCCCAGCCAGTTCCCCATGATCAGAGTGTCGGAGGGCCGCTACCGCATCGGAGACACCAAGACCACCATCTTCGTCAGGGTGAGTTCCATGACCGTGACCTTTGACCCGCGGGCCGGGAAACTTGACCCGTGATATGTGCTTGTGATACGTGATTTGCTACCCGTGGCCTATGACTTGCGACCCGTGATACGCAGCTCACAACCTGCAACCCGTGACCCTTGGTAGATCACATAACCATGTGACGCTTTTGCGTAACGCCAGAATCACCAAAAGTTGCATCAGGGTGCTGTGAGGTTTAACCCCTTTCACTCGTTTGGGACCGGGAAGTGGTCACATTAAATTTCGCCGCCGCTCGTATCAATTTGTGCGCCCGCGCTGGCGTGTCATGATCTGGGTGCCACTGGTTGTGTTCCGAGCTAGGTGTTCCTATCTCAGCTCAGTGCTGGTGTGATGATCAGATAATGGCCCCTTCCGTAGCTCGGATAATCGGCGCCGGGCTGTTACATTGCTACCGGAGCCAGTAGAGCATTGCGGTTACAGAGGTGCCTCATTGTAGTTTTTGTGACCGACTCTCTTCAGCCTCTTTTTGGGTATACATAAACAACGTGCATGGCGTCTGCTGGTGCACCGTCGAAATTTATTTCCCATTCCCTTTATCGAAACTTCCCCAAAGTTGCTTTGCATTGCCCTTCTCTGCCTTGGCTCATGACCTGATATTATTTGAAATCCTGGCTGTAGATATGAGTCTAGTCAAGATCCAGTCTCCCCTATTTTTCGTGCAGAGATCGGCCTGACGTCAGTCAAAAGATCAGAACAGTCCCTGAGATCAGCACAGGTCAATCAGGCCCCGTCTAAACCGAGCCTTTGCCAAGTTCCGGCTCCCCTCCCCTGACCCTGACCGGCCGACCGTGGACCGGCCGGGTCCCCCGGTCCCATACAGACTGGAGCTGACCCCGTGACCCCGGGGACCGGGCCGTGACCCGGCTGACCCCGCCATTGTGCGGCACGTGCGGCCCCGCTCCCTCACTCACGAGCTGTCACCGGCGACAGGCAGCCGAGGGGAGAGGGACGGAGGGAGGGGGAGGGGGAACGCAGTCATGAGAGAGCTCCAAGGCTCGGGTCTTGACCGAGAGGGAAGGAGAGACGGAGAGCAAGAGAGTTGACAGGAGCCCAAACAGGAGGAACCTGCATAGAGTAGAGAGTTGACAGGAACCTGCATACTCTGTAGAGTACTCTATAGAGTGACTCCTACTCTATAGAGTAGGAGAGGGAGGGGAGATGAAAGGAAAAGGAACTGGGAAAAGGAAATGGAAGGAGGGATTCTCGGGTGTCGCGTGCTGACCCTGTACCGGTGACAGCCGTGAGTCGACCGACCCGTCCCGTGTTCCGACTAACACGCCGCCTGCCGAGGTTAATAGGTTACTGCACGCTCGTGACGTCATCCACCCCGTGTTCCGTTAATTGAATAGCGTGTACCGGCGCGGGCTGCGCGGGCCCGGTCCTCGCACTAGGATTGCATGCTTCATGACGGCTGCCCAAGGCCGCTGATGGGCCTTGAGCAGAGGCGAGCGCAACTCGCGCCTACTTCTGTTTTCGCCGAAAAGGGTACTTGAGTGGGTATCAACAGTATGCAATACATTTGATACATCGGCTTTCAGTATAGTCATGAAGCTTGTTTTGTTTGTGAAATACCACTAAAAGTTTGATAACCTTGCCAGTAACAGCCTCCTATCCCGTTTTTATGCCTTGATCCAACCATCATTGCGCCATTAACACCTTTTAACGGCCCGTGAAACATTTACCGCACTCTGCCGGTGGCTCGTGCTGTCGCAAGGAGTCACCTGCTGCCCGCACCGCGCCGTTCTATTGTCCGTCAGAGGCGAGGTGTCACCCCCCACCCCTCCGCCGTCGCCCGGCTCGCCGCACCCCGGCGCCGACAGCCCAGCAGCTCCAGTCAGGGCACGCCGCGCGCCGTCACTTCTTTTGTGACGACCTTATGCAACAGTGGGAGCGCGTGCGGAGAAAGCCATGTCATGTCACGTGCCATGGACTGGCGGCGTGTGCCGTGGTGCTGCCGGAACCGACTGCAATGTCCTCACTTCCTGAGCGCTCGCCTCTCACGAGCTGCAGCGGGCGGGCGCGGACAATCCCGGAGACTTTGTACAGCGGCGCTTTGTGTGCCTCGGGGCGCGCTGGACGGGAGGACGTCCGCAGCCGTGAGGAGGGCGACCAGCACGGAGGGCGTCGCCCTCGGCTAGCGCCCCCGGCGGCTTCACGAGTGGCTGGCTGCACGGCGGCGGTACGCCACGCCGGCTTCAGTTGGGACCCTGCTTGGTCCAAAGGCGCTCACCGGCGCCCGACCGGCCGCGGCGCCACACTCCAGGGCGTTACGCCCGTGTTGGCAGCCCCCGACCGGCCGCGGCGCCACACTCCAGGGCGTTACGCCCGACCGGCCGCGGCGCCACACTCCAGGGCGTTACGCCCGTGTTGGCAGCCCCCGACCGGCCGCGGCGCCACACTCCAGGGCGTTACGCCCGTGTTGGCAGCCCCCGACCGGCCGCGGCGCCACACTCCAGGGCGTTACGCCCGTGTTGGCAGCCCCCAACCGGCCGCGGCGCCACACTCCAGGGCGTTACGCCCGTGTCGGCAGCGGCGCCACACTCCAGGGCGTTACGCCCGTGTTGGCAGCCCCTGACCGGCCACGGCGCCACACTCCAGGGCGTTACGCCCGTGTTGGCAGCCCCCGACCGGCCGCGGCGCCACACTCCAGGGCGTTACGCCCGTGTTGGCAGCCCCCGACCGGCCGCGGCGCCACACTCCAGGGCGTTACGCCCGTGTTGGCAGCCCCCGACCGGCCGCGGCGCCACACTCCAGGGCGTTACGCCCGTGTTGGCAGCCCCTGACCGGCAGCGGCGCCACACTCCAGGGCGTTACGCCCGTGTTGGCAGCCCGTTCGGCGGAGCTCACCGCCGTCTGTCGTGGTTCCCTAGTCCCCTGCGCGAATGTGTTATCACGCTGCTGCCATGTGTTTTCTGTTTTATGTTTACGCTATTTCGTTCATCACCTATCAACATCAGTGTTTCATTATGTTCACTCATATTACATTATACCTTGTAGTCTTACCAGATTAACTCAGCGGTCTCTGACTCCTCTCACAGGTGCTGCGTAACCACGTGATGGTGCGAGTCGGTGGCGGCTGGGACACACTACAGCACTACTTGGACAAACACGACCCCTGCCGGTGCAAGGCTGGTGAGTGACCCGACCGACCGAGCTGGCCCGTCCCCAGCCGGACAGTGCTGGCCCGTCCCCAGCCAGCTAGGACTGTCCTGTTCCCAGTCCGTTAGATTCGAGACCGATCACCGGGCTTTACTTGGGGATTGTGGAAAAATAGTCGGCATAAACAGTTGCAGCAGCGACCAAGGGTGGAGATCGCTGCACCAAACGTGACAGCCGTGAAAAGTTGACTGACAGCACAAACGTGACACCCGTGACACTCAGTCTGACACAAAGGGCGTAACACGCGTGACACTTGGCCCGACGCAGGGGCGTGGCCATATGACACTCGTTACATGTTAGACACGTGACAGTTGTCAGTTGTGACAGTTGGGCTGACATAAGAGACTAGCGCGTGACAGCGGCGGCTCAGAAGTGACCGCGACGTTGATTAGTGTGATGTGTCCGTGATGGCCACATTACCATACCAAGCTAGGGTCGACCCGCGAAACCAACGGAGGAACCTGATTGTGAAGATATGCATATAGCAAGGACTAAATTTAGATCTCTACATACGTGCATAGAATCGCACTTTACATGGCTGATGTCAAAACGGGACTGGATGGTGTCACGTGCCTCGTGCACATTACATTCACCGAGGTCCAAATTAGGCTCTACACGTTCAAAGTAGCACTTCTATAAAGTGAGACGGCCGTCTCCTTCGTAAAGAATAGGTCAATCAGACGACCGCGGTCCGCAATGTATAACCTTGTGACCCGTTATGGTCACCCGCTCCCCTGAGCTGTCCTCTCGGCCGTTGTCTCGTGCACGCCTGGTGCACAGCTCTGTGCACTGTCTGTGCACGGTGAGTGGAGAGCGCGACGCGGCGATTTCTCACGACTGGAGGGTTACGCCCCGCACGAGCCGTCTGTGCACAGTGTGCACAGTGCACACAGCTGGTGCACGGTGGACGTGCGAGGCGGCGCGGCACGCGCGACACGATAACACTCCGAGGAGCGGGGAATGTCTTCAAGGCCGGCCCGACTCGACTGCAGGGCGGCGGACAGGACAGTCGGGGGGGGAGGGGGGGGGGCGGACAGTGGTCCGGTGAACCGTATCCGGTCCGTTGGATGGTGTTTTGACTCCGGTCACGAGCGGTCACGGCGGGAGAGATGGTCCACCGACCGCGACCACCCGGCTGTCGGACCCTGCTCTAACCGCAGCAAATTCACGTCCGCCGCCGCACGGCACTAGCGTCTGGGACTCTAACGGAATCGCATTCAGGCGTGCTTTAAATGTGTCAAAGGGCGACACAAAGCTTCCGGAAGCAAAGGGTCGCCTATTATCAAAGCGGCAAATATTCATTATTCATTAACAAAACGCCCTATTCTAGTCTAGACTGTACCGCAATACACACGCTATAAGGCTGTCCCGCAATACCTTTAAGACTGATTTTAGACTGCCGTCCCGCAATACCTATAAACGCCTGAAGGTAGACTGTCCCGCAATACAGACGCCTGATATTAGACTTTCCCGCAATACAGACAAAGGCCTGATATAGGACTATCCCGCAATAACTGCAAACGCCTGATTTTAGACTGTTCCGCAATACCTATAAACGCCTGAAGGTAGACTGTCCCGCAATACCTATAAATGCCTGAAGGTTGACTCTCCCGCAATACAGACGCCTGGAGGCAGACTATCCCGCAATATGCAAGAAAGTAACGTCTGTGTGTCCGTAGTGTAGACGTGTCGGAATTCTCGATCTCTAAATCACTGTGTGTGTGTCACCTAGTTCGGTGATCGGCATCATACCTAGGTATATGTATAGTAGGTATCTACATTGTACAATGTACATTTACCAGACTTTTGTAATTGAACGTGTGCACGGGCACGGCTAACGTTATTATGGTGTCCTTTTTATTCTCAGTTAAATGCTGCATGGCGTAATGGGAACGGGAAACAAAAGAGAAGCTCTGAGGACTTATAATTACTTGTCACGTATCTAATTTGTTTCCCTCACCGTCAGATATTTTTGACTGTCATCTTTAGCCTCCTTGACCGTCCATGCCATAATGACTTGGTGCTGACATAGTGCTCATTTTTGCAGAACATCGCAAAACCACGTCGTCCAAGCTGTACATGAAGAATTCGCCGACTGTGGACGGCGACCGCAAACTCTCCGGGGTCACATACGAGCGGTGAGTGAACGACCAGTCACCTGGAGGAACGACAAGGAACGGTGCAGTTGACGGACCGGACCGTATTTATAAAACAAAGCCGAACAGTCCGAGCATATGCCAGCCGGGGCAAACATGTTCATGCGGCATGCTTTCTCAATGAGCAGACACTTAACATTTGTACAAATAGGTGCATTCTTCACCATTTTGTCACTCCACACATCTTTCTGCAGTGACGCCTCTAACCCTCTGTCGGTGCCCCGCCCCCCCCCCCCCTCTCTGCAGCGGCGGCGGCGGCGGCGGCGGTGAGCTGGAGACACCCCCGCCGCGAGTCGGTCGCTCGCGCTCTCCGGGCGGCAAGCGTCGCTCGCTGCAGCCGGGCGAGTGCCGCGCTCACGAGGAGGAAGAGTCGGGCTCGGAGCTCTCCGACGAGGGGTACCGCTCGCCGGGACTGGGCAAGACGGCCGCCGGCGCCACAGAACCAGGTGGGTGCCGGGCGCGACGAGGCAGAGGTAGAGTTCCGCATTTGGGGACAAGGGGAGGGGTTGAGTGCATTGGGTCAGCTGTTTTGTACTATCGTGTTTACATAGCTCGTTTGACGACGTCTACTGAATGAATAATTAATCGTCCGGTGAGGCATTTACTGGGAGCTACCGTACCCACAGCGCCATCTAGTGTGGAAACCCCTCTCAGATGGCGCTGGTTCCCGGCACCCTGCCCCGCCGTCTGCTGACTGTATCTCTCCACCTGCCAGGGCCGCCGGCCTGGACACCCTCTCCCTCCGACTATGTGGTGGAGCTCAACTCCCCGGCCAGCGGGGACAAACAGCGCGGCCGGCGCTCCTCCTCCACCCCCGCCGGCCGACCGGCCAGCGCCGGCACCTCGCCCGCCGCCGCCGGCGCCAAGACGCCCAAAACGCGCCACCCGCTCATCGCCTCGGCCCTGCGCGGCCTCAAGAACCTGCGGCCCAACTCCAGCACAGCTGCCAAGCCGTCGGCTGGCGCTCAGAGCCCGCAGCTGCTGGCGCCGCCGGAGCCGGCCGGTCGGAGGATGTCGTCCGACTCCGGGCGACACTCGGTGCGCGCCAGCCGATCCAGCCAGGCCCGGACGCCGCGCGGCGGCGCGCACGGCACCTGGGCGGGCGGCCAGCGGCGCGACCGGCCCGCCCTCTCGGCCGACACGTTCCGCCGGCAGCCGGCCGGTCCGGCGGCGGCCGTGGCGGCCGGCCGCACCGCGTCGGCCTCGCCGGGGCCGCGGCGCCGCTCCGCCGGCAGACTGCCGCCCAAAGGAGGCATCCTCGACAAGCTGATGGACACGCCCGACCTGGACGACGACGCCAAGGTGCTGCAGCGCATGGAGGAGCTGCTGCGCCAGTACCGGCCGCAGCTGGAGCTGCCGCCGCTCGGCGCCGGGGCCTCAGAGGACGGCGGGCCCGTCTCACCGCGGGTCACGCCGCGTAAGGAGGGCGACGGGCCGGCCAAGACCCGGATCCCGGCGCCGACCTTCTTCCAGCCGCGGTCGCCGACCGAGCCGCTGCCGTGAGCGGTGTGACCTCACCGTGCGCCGTCCCAGGGACAAGAGAGGGAACAGGACAGGGGCGTGTCGGGCCCTGGCGTGTGATGGGTCATATGGGACAGACGCCCCTCCCTCACAGGCGACGAGTCGCTGCCGTATGCCAAACAGGCGGCTCAGAATACCTGCTCTGATTTTAGCTAGCGCAGCTCTCACGAGCCTGTGAATCCAAGTCAGTGATTCACTGTGACGATGGTGCAGACTGCTGACGATACGGGAAGGCGAGTGAGCTGCTTCAGCGCGAGAAAGGCAAACCCATCGTGATTAGTTGCTAGTCGCGCCTTCCCCAGACGAGTGTGTGGTGACGTCGGTGCTTTCTGCTTGCGCTGACACAGCTAACTGACGGGCAGCAGCGCCAGCGGTCTTATAATTCAAACACACCCAGAATACGGTGTTTTAGTTGCCAAAATATTAACCATACGTGTGCGATGACCAAGTGTTGATGTGGTACATTATGAGCGTTTCGATACGAAGACTTGCGTCGTTCGGTCGTGAGTTATTTATTTATGTCGTGTGTTGCGGTAAGACATTCCGTTCAGTGGAGGGACGAACGGCGAGCACAGCGCCCCCTGTCCTCTGCAGTCGATATCGGCGTCCGACAGAGCCATCCGGCGTCGAAAAACGGCGGCTGTGTTCTGTGGAAGGTGGGCTCATAATTGACTGTATCTCTGAGCTGAGCGAATGTGGACTGTACTGAGTACTCCTACTCGAGGCTGTCGCAGAGGGATAAGTGTGGTAACCCGTGCGGTAGGCTACTGAGGTGGGTCACGCGGTGACCAATACGAGCGGCGAACAGCGTCGGGAATACTAAGTGCACGGGTGGGATGGGTCGCACTGAGGGAGGTGACCTCCCGAGCCGCCACTGGTCTCCTGTGAGGACCGAATGCGAGTGGCGATACGAAGTGACAGTTCACATGTCGACTGTCGTACATTTCCTGCCGGGAATGTACTGAGAGTGAGCTGAGACAGACGCCGAGCCCGGCGGAGTGCGAGGGTGGACCATCCACCCAGAGAGCAGAGCCATGGTGGTCGGCACGGCGGACCAGGAGGTGAAGAACTAACCCAGTCAGGACCGGGTCGAGCGGCTGCGTCCCCGGCGGTGTGTGGTGTCATTGGTGAACACGGGCGCAGCGTCATGGCACAGACCCGCGCTGCAGCTTGTGAGAAAGCAGATGTGCATCGGATTTAATAAATACTTTTGATAGAATGGAGTTCTTTCAAATGTTATCACCACGGACACAAGTCGATGCAGGACACCAATGGAGATCGGTACTCCGGGTGGCATCGCGGCAGCATCCTGACTCAAACGGCACAGCCGAAACGAGGCCACTTCCGCACTGTTGTTTCATGTTATGCTAGGGCAATTGCTGTTAGCTAATTACGGTTTACGAACTCATTTAAGCTTCACTCTCCCTCTCTTCGCCCTCCAGCCCTGCTGGAATGTTTCGTTCCTCTACCGAATATCCATTAGCTCATCAATGAGCCTGGGCTAATGTAACGTGTTCCTTGCCAGCAATGACAGTAGTGAAATGCGGATGTTCGCATCATCCGGACCCGGTAAGTGATACAAGAAAAATACTTCTCAGCCCGCCTCGTGGATATAGAAAACACCTCTCGCTACAGAACAGAACAAATACAAATGCTGTAGGAAGGCCCAGCCACCGCAGAAGCATTAGTTCAATTATTCGTAGATAGGTGTCAGCAATAGGTACCGATCAGGCCGCGGCCGCCCTCCCACGGTCTCTTCAACGGAGACTTTATGTCTTCCATGTCTTTCATTCATTCCTTTCGAATTTCGAATACGAGTCCCATTCCAGGGTTATTTCTACGAAAACGCCGCTTTTTCGAAATCGGTGCCTTTCAGCACATTTTCTGAGTCGGCAGAGCAGACCAATCACTATCAGCCTCTCCGGACTCTCCTCTCGGCCCAACCGAGCTTCCCGTAGCCCCTCTCCCCCCCCCCCCCAACAGAGACACACCGTTTAGCCATCAGCCGTGTATTGTGTCACGCGGCGACAGCGGAGCGCGGTGCGTCTAGTCGAACAGACCGAAGCCCATGTCGTCGTCCTCCGACTCGGACTCGGGCTCGGGCTTCTTCTTCTCCTCCTCCTTGGCAGCGGCCGGGGCGGCGCCACCGGCGGCGGCGGCGGCCGGCGCCGCGGCGCCGCCGGACGGCACAGAGGCCAGCTTGGTCAGACCTGCGGCGGGGGCGAGGGGTCAGTAAGGGCGGCGGACGGTACGGTATGGGGTCAGTTAGCACTCACCACATTGCTGGTTACTTACTAATCAAACACCGGTTCATAATAAATTATAATGGATTGTTGCTCAAATAAGACAATTCGTTTACGGACACCGATAACTCAAAAATTACGCCGATCGGGCCAACTACACAACACGCAAATAAATGACACGTATACCGAAATTTGATTCAGTTGATCATTTATCGGCCTTCCAGGCGCTCGAGCTGAGTCACTAGAAAAGGAACACGGGGCGGGCTTCGTTCCAGGTTCTCACCTCTCACCAAAACATCTCCACAAGCCCAACAGACCTATGTTACGAAATTGCGACTCCCCTGATCACCGGCTACCGCTCGTACAAGTACGGAACTGGCTACACCGGCACTTGCCAAGTCATACGAACACACCAGCCTAGTCTTGCAGAGCCCTGTTCTTACCGGCGGCGATGACGTCATCGACCTTCTTGCCGGCCATCTGGCTGACGACGAGGTCGGCGCGGCTGTCCTCGCACTCGATGCCCACCGAGCCCAGGATCTTCTTGATGTCGTCCTTGGACGGAGCCTTGCCGCTCTGAGCGGCCAGCAGGTAGGCAGCCACGTAACGCATGCTTACGCACTGAAACGGAACGCAACGGTCAACTGAGGGTCTGATGGTGGAATACTTGAGGAAAGCAGCCATCTGCTGAGGTAGCATACTCGCCTACAATGGAAGACAATCAATTTCTGGGATACTGCGGCACATATAACAAATTTGCTGTTGCTCCAAAAAAGAAAAATACTTCCAACACTTATATTCAGTGTCAGAAGTTTGATGCATAAATGCTTGGTTGAGCTTGGCCTCTGCGACAGGTGGAGTATGTGTGAAGATGAAGTCCAAGTAGATAAAATCAGACTAGCCTGACCCATTGTTTGTTTATTGGAGCTTTCGGGTGTGCGACTGCTGGGGTCATTTTGTGCCCCAGCCTGACCTAATCTGACCTACTAAATACTAATAGACTAAAACAACCTACATCCCTAAAACCTACCACATGGATTAGTTGGGATTGAGGTTACAGTTGAGTATTTTTAAGCTCTTATTTCCATTAATCAGTTTGGTGAAACTTAATGACCCTTATCTACATTTAAAAACAATGTTTATCTCATGCCATAAATTGATATTGGTGCATCATGTCAGTCATAAGTGCAGTACATCATGTCCGTCATAAATGTGTGAATATCATTTGTCCTTGTCAGTGCAGTTGGGTACCTATTCTCTTAGCAGCCGTCACCCGAGCTGCCATATCTAATTAGGTAGGTTTTAGTTTGGTAAGTTGCAAGTGAGGTTAGGTCAGGTTAGCTTGTTTTGTTACATATTTAACTGTGAAAAGACAATTGCAGCTCACACGAGACGTAGATATAGGGCCTGTTCCAGCGCCTCAAGAGTAAAGAATTATAGAAATTATTGACTGGAGGCTCTACCAGAGATTCCACTGGAGGCGCTGGAAGGCAATCTGGAGATTTCTGGAGATTGGTGCCACAGATACCAAAAGAATGATGGTTCTCTGTTGAAACACAGAGTATGTTTAAATTTAAGTCAGAAAGATTTTGTTTACATTCATGATTGTCACATGAGCGCTATAATTGTAGACAAGAGCCTCCATGGACATGTGGACCTCCCAACTCTCTGCAGGCTACTGTACCAGTCTGCAAAACGTGGCAGGGTTCGACGAGATCTCGTCGGGGCAGACACAGTGGGGCGGGGGCAGATATCGGGGCAGCTTTTGAGAAATCGGGGCAGAGTTCGGTAATTCCGGGGCAGACCGTTTGTAGTCGGGGCGGACCGGGGCGGGGTGCACGCTACCGGTGGAATATAATAAAGAAGCAGAGTATTATTGAAACGCGCGAGAAAAAGTGAGCTGCGCCACAAACGTCTCTGAAGCGCAGAAATTGTCATTTGTAACTGCTACCATATTCGAGTTTTCCCTTCATCGGGGCTATGAATGTTTTACGCGCCGTGTTTCGTATTAGCAACCAAGGAAAGGCGCTACCCGGAGATACTCCTTTCTAGCCTCACCAAACCAAATCAAACCAAACCGAACCAGACCAAACCTGACCTAATCGAACACTCGTAAATGTGCTGTATAGCCCTCACGATGATTGCCGTCCGGCCAAATGATATCCACATTTCCACTTAGAAACGAACGCGTGCTAAACTGGCTGCGAACCCGCGACCTACAGATTAAGAGACGAGCATACTCTGCACACTTAAAACTAAGCCAGCAACTAGCTGATCATCGCCGAGACGAGGTGTAATATCAGTTTTTCAATGATGGGCATTGTCCGAGTAACGCCTCTCTCTGGTTGCAAAAACGAAATGCGCCCCTCGCTGCCGATTGTTTCGACGTTGCCATGGCAACATGAGGCAGTTTTGCACCCCAACTGCGTCATCATCACATTTTAACCGGAACACTACACTAGCCGCTCTATTTAATATAACCTTGACCAATGATCAGATCCTTTCGTTAAAAAATTGTCGAGTCTCATTACCGCGACCGCGACCGACTTAAATTTGCGCGGGTGATATATTGATATGTAGTTTTTATGCTATATATAGTACATTTAGGGCCTAATCTAACCTGCCCCAATTAGATGCCCCATTTGGGGCAGAAATATGACTGCCCGGGAGGCTAGCTGCCCCATTTGGGGCAGGATTCCGGCTGCCCCAAACACCTCGTCGAGCTGGCTGCCAGGTTTTGCAGACTAGCTACTGTAGGCGCTGGAAATTATTTGGCGGGAGCTTTCTGAAGTTGCTGGAACAGGCCCATGGCAGCAAAGGCGACATCTGCTAAGAGAGTACCCAGAGTTGTTGCTCAGCCACGGAGGGTGCTGGCACAGGCTGTCAGTAATTTATTTGAACTACCACCTACAAGTGTTGGTATTAGTATATATTAGGTCCGAGTGGATAATTGTGACGCTGTTGATACAAAGATGTAACAGCAAAAAATGTAGGTTTTAGGTTAGGTTAGGTTGTAGGTTTTAGGTTGGTAGCTTTGTAGGTTAGGTTAGGTTAGGTTGTAGGTTTGTAGGTTGGTAGGTTGTAGCTAAATAGGTAAGGTTAGGTCAGGTTTGATTGTTTTTCCTTTATTTCCAGGACATATTAGTATCATTTTTGGATTCAGGATGTCAAACAATGTAAGAATATGAAAACTTTATCTTTTAACAGTCACTCGGACTTATCTTTTAACAGTCACTCGGACTTAATGTATACTTTTACCCAAGTGTTAGTAGCTTCATGCAGTACCCCCAGACCCAGTGTAATAATATTCTGCTAATAAGGGCCACTATGTCGACACTGGACAGCCTGAGTCGATTTACTTCTTGTTTCAAGCTCGAAACTTTGCTGACAAACGACGCTTCACAGTGCAATTTTACGCTCTGGACTAAACGGACTTGAATGTTGTGCCCCAATCAGATGGACCAAACTGAGGGTTATACTAAATCACAATGCAGAATGCCAAAAAAGATAAAAACTTACCTTTTAAGTCTTACGACACGAAACGTGTACTGCACCGCGCTAAGTTAGCGTACAGAAGGAAGTTTGCGACGGTGCCGTTCACGAAACAACAAACTCTTATTTTCACAAAATAAAATATTGTAAAGCCATTTTCAAAAAAGCACTTATAAAAACAAGATATTCACAAAAATATTTATTTGCTTTCAAAGAAAATAATTTCTTGATAACAACAGCTGGGTGAGACTAAATGCTTACTTCGAAATCTAAGCTGCGTTGCGGCATTGGCGGTTATGTGCGGCGTGTATGCCGCATGATTAGTAAGCGGCGACCACTAAATTAAAAATTCAATAGCTTTGACCTGTTTTCAATGGATAACACTGCATACCAAAAATGTCCATCGCTCTCGTCATAGGATATTTAGATTTAAATAACTAACTTATCTACATCATTGTTTTGAACCAAATTAATACTCAGCCGCGAACGTATAAGGTATAACCCCTTGCCGTTTCGCTCCTGATCAAGCTAGAGCTTCGCGGAAAAAACGAGCGTGTTGCCCGTGACGAGAGAAAGCCGATGATACCCAATTTTAAGGTCCTAGGTCATCGATTGACCTTCCAGGTTAGGTCAATGACCCAAAAGGCGGGAAAATTGGGACCTGTTAGAACGTCGTAGTGTGGCTGCTATGGGGTTTTTCGGGGTGCTGATCACGAATATCATGCTAGTTTTGATCACAGATGATGTCTTCATTCATTTAGGCCAGGTCGGGTTAGGTCAGGTCAGGTCAACCAGTAGAGGTCCTGCCAGGTATTTGTAGTAGGTGTCAACCGCCTCTGACAGCCTCGTAACATGTTACGAAGGCACCAAAACTACTTTGTAAACGTTCATGTGGTTGCTTAATTCGAATTCAGCTCGAAAAAACTGACCTAGAAACATGTCAAACTCGAAAAAGTGAACCGAGGTCACCAAAGGTCAATGACCTGACCTGACCTTCAGGTGACCTTGACACCCACCCTAATGCATGAAGACAACATCATATCACATGTTTGAACGCTTGAAACCACGAAAAGACTGCAAACGCGCTGCTAATGCGAGCCGACATACGCTGAATCGCGGTTCCGGCCAAACATGGTCTCGAAAAGTAGGTCACAGGTCAAAGGTCATTTGGGTCAGGGTCATGAAATTTTCAGGATGGGTGTTAAATTGATCAATGCGAGGGCACTGAAAGTTTCGTCGCGATCAGCCGCTTTTTAAGCGAGTTATTCGCGAAAAACCTTAGGGGGGTTGCATCAATCCCCCCCCCCCCCCCGGTGCGGGCGAGGTCATGTTTTGATAGCAAGACTGAAACAGACTTTTTTGGGTAGCCAGGAAATCGCATGCCAGAGCCTATTCAAATTCTTTTATCGGCCTTTATATGCACCAGTCGCATACAGGTACGGGATTTAGCATACGATTTCCAGACAATCGAAAGACTGTTTGGAGACAACAAAGGAAGGAATGAGTGAGTTAAGTTGAAAGTATTAATTTGGTTGAAAATGATGATGTAGATAACCTAGTTATTTAAAGCTGAATATCTTATGACGAGAGCGGTTGGCATTTTTGGTATGCAGTGTTATTCATTGAGAACCGGTCGGAGCGTTTGAGTCTTTAATTTAGTGGTCGCCGCTTACTAATCATGCGGCATACACGCCGCACATAACCGCCAATGCCGCAACGTAGCTTAGATTTCGAAGTAAGCATTTAGTCCCACCCCAACAGCTTAAAAATTATGTAAGAAAGCTAGCGACTTTTGGGTGTAAAATAGGCGAAATAGAGATATTTTAGAAAATGCGATCTTTCATCAAACATCTTTAGCTTGATCTTTAGCAACATATTTACCAGGATCACGAGCAGTCGAGATATTCGATCTCAACCGCAGCTTACTGGCGGATCCAGAAAGACGGCAATGAACGATGCGGGGGCAATGGGCATACCTGACCCGCGAGTGACTTGGGGGGGGGGGGACTCTCCAGAGCCCGGAGCCCCCCCCCCCCCTCCTAATCTCCGAAACTACTAGGCCGATCTTCAAAATTCAAACGGCTTCTGATAGCCCTGGAAAACTGTCAAACGAAACCTATTTTCATGACTTCGAGGTAACCGATGACGTAACAGGTCAGGTCAAAGTAAAAATTATCAGCATTTTTGCTCATTCACAATTTAGGCTCACCGCCGCGCCGGCTGACAAGTCCGCTCAGGCTCATTCATTTTTGGTTTACACACTCCTTGATATATGCCAGAGATACCCTGAGGCCTGAGGATTTACGTACTCCTTGATATATGCCTCAGATACCCTGAGGGTACCGAACCTTTGCTTCGAATTTTTCAGGTCAAGGCCAGGTCATCCTAGGTCACAAAATTGTAGGTAGAGGAAAGTGGGGTAAGACGGTCAGGGTAGGTAGGACGGGCACCCCTTCTGCAGACCAAACCAATAGCGCTACGAGCGAGAAAAATTAGGACCAGAATTGCCTTTCCCATTACACACCACCATTGAAGTCTGGTGAATCTGTGTTCAGTCGATAATCTTTTATTTTGATTCCTTTATAACACTCATTTCATTGAAAACATCCATAATGTATTATGCAAGCTTTTGTGTGCAGCACTATAGAGTTAAAATAAAAAAAACTCGCAATCACTTGTGGTACACTCATATGCCACCAGTGTTCATTTACCGCGGATTTGCTTTGTCTGCATCAAATTGTCCACAGAGAAAAATCGTGCTGAGCTTCTGACATTGAGTTTGGGGTAAGACGGGCAACTCGAATCCAATGGCGGGTCTGTAATGGTGAAAATATTTTTGTTGCTGTAGGAAAAAAGAAGCATTTCTAATAAGAATATGTTCGATTCCGATACTCACAGACATGTCAGCAATATTCCTTCGGCACAGTTTATTCTCGAATAATGAATGTGAAAAACGGTTCTACATGGCTTCTGAACTAGGGCCTATATACGAGCATACGCCTTCTGCACGAATCTCATATACTGCCATTTCCGAAGCACTTGAGACCAACGAGCGACTGTATCAATGCGGCTAATCTCGGGCATTTGTTGCTAGCTGTGCTGGTCGGTGAAAGAAGCTGGCCGTCTTGCCCTACCCATGTGACCGTCTTACCCCATGGGGTGGGGTAAGACGGGTTTTTGCAAGGTTTTGCAAAAATAGCTGCAGTTTATTTGTTGAATCAGGTCTAAGTCTCATCTTCTGGCAAATGGAAGTAAAATCTATGATGTTTCTAACCGGCCGAAAAATGGCTCCAAAGTTAAGGTGCCCCTCTTACCCCACTTTCCCCTAACTACTCTCCAACCCCTTCACACTCTCCAATTGGACAAGCAATTGCTTACTGCATTATAATGCAGTAAGCAATTCTTGTCAGAGTGCCCTTGTCAGAGTGCCCTGCGGCTGCATGGATGGTGGTCAGAACTCAGAACCCAGAGGACCGAGTAGTTTTTTTATAGGACAGTACCCTGGAATGCGCCTGATGTCATTTGGACTGGTTATCGCGACGGCAACTGCCTCCGGGGCCATTTATTGATGGCTCAGTGTGCAGCCGAAAAGAAGTGGAGAGAAAAAAGTCAGCTAGATTCCGTGCCTGCACCTAAACAGCTTCGGAGGTTAAAGTATGCTAAACATCTGTCTGATAGAAAAGATGCCGTCTTGAAAGTTCTCCCCATATTTGTTAGGATGGCGAGGAATGGGATTACGGAAAATAGGAATGGTTTCTTTTGAATGAAGAAAAACGTGGTGCGAGGTACTTGGAAACGTAGCTAGTTGATGGACTCGGGCTCTGACAAGGCGTTCCACAACCTTCACGATCACGAGCACTAAGAGTTGATCCAGAGCTGATGGTGTCGGGGGACGGCCCGCTGTCAGTCTGTGCTGGTAAGGGGGAGAACGCATCATAGCGTCACAGTGCCGTCATCGCGCCGCTCGTGGGACGGGGAGGGGGCTGGGCCGCTGCCGCTGCTGTACCCCTCCCGCCGGCCGGCCGGTCGGACAGTCGGCGGCGGCAGATCGCGGCGAGAGGACCGTGGGTGACCCACTCCGAGCTGTGAGCCGTCGGCCGGGAGCGCACAGCGATGGGGAGCGGCCAGAGCCGGGACGGCGGAGGGGGAGCTCTCCACCTCGCCGGCTCTGGGCTGACCTTCTCACCCCGCCAGCTGCGCCGCCTCAACGACCGGTTCGCGTGGATGGAGCACTCGTGCAACGCGGCGCTCAACAGCTACTACTCGGCCATGCAGCCGCGCGGTGAGGGGTCACTGGGCACAGGCTGGGGTGACTGTGGTGGGGGGCGGAGCACAACATGACACTGACTGGCGCACCTGCAGGTCAAACGCCCGACGCCACTTCAGTGCTGCCTCCACTTGAAATTTGTATTATCCGTTCCGTCGTTTCCATCCTCAGGATAGTCAAATTATTCTCCTCCACGCCTAAGCCCCCTGCTCCGGGATGGACGGACATCTTGATCCCATGCGGGAGACTCCCATTGTAGGAGCAGGCCCGTAGCCGGGCGCGGTGAGTGTCAGGGAGCTGAGTGGTCTGTCCTCGTGATGGGCTAGGGTGCCCGCCCAGAGCAATGTCTCCCCTTGATTCCTATCATCCATCCATCAGGCTCTGTACAGGTCTCGTCAGACCGAACAGAAAAGCGGCGCAAGTTAACCCTCGCCCGCACATGGGGGGGGGGGGTTGCCACCCCTCCCCCAGGTAGTCTTTCTGCTCTGCACTCAACATTTTTAGAGCTAGAAGCCTGATTTTTCGTATAGCTGCTCCTCTATCCTTTCTGGATGTCCAGTGAAAATTTCAAGGTTCTGTGACTTTTGGTTTCGGAGATATGACCTTGTTTTTCAGGTCATGTCATGACCCAAATGACCATTTCTCAACATATTGCGTTGGCTATGGGCCTTGTGAGCTTTTGACGCCTTGATTTCGGCCTTTTTTGCCAGTCTTACCTCCCACCTATCATGGAAGTTGGAACATGTTGTTCGACGATGTACAGATGTCAAGGTCAGGGTCAAGGTCAACCTAGGTCATCGAAAATAATTGCGTTTTAGGCAAGCTGAAGCTACTTTTCGTGATTTTTTTTTTACTGCATTTTTGGTAAAAGCTTCTCAGATCATGATTTCATGTAATATGGACACATAAACAATCGGTGCACACATCAGTATACACACAGACACACACAGACATACAAACACATATCATTGACCTTGACCTAACTTGACCTGAAATGACCTCAGCAGCAAAAACCTGGTCGGGTAGTGTGACAAAGAGGTTCTAGGTAGCTGGCTTGGCACCAGAAAACGGCATTGTCATCGGTATATGATAAGCAGCGTACTTGATATCCAACGGTGACCTAAAACAGCAACAATTTTTAGTTTGACCTGACCTGGAAGGTCAATGACTGACCTGAGAAGGTAAAACTGGATAGTGGATATCATTGGATTTGTCTCTTCCCAAAGAATCTTTTTGGTCTTTACAGCGAAGCTCTATCTCCAACAGGAACGAAATGGCGCGGGGGGTGGCACCCCCCCCCCCCCATGTGCGTTTATAGGATGGGAAAACAGGGGTGGATTTTTATATTAAGTTGGGGTTGCACGTGCAACCCCAACTTTGAATTGTGCAACCCCAACATCGGTTTGTGCAACCCCAACTTTACAACTGAAATAAATCGGCGGGCGACTCGAATGGTGCCGCCCCCATAACCCTGAGCCATCCTAAAACTCTATGCCACCCGTTGACTTGGCACCATCTTTCAAAACAGCCCTACCCATCATGTAGGCAATAGTCACCCCTCAACTATCTAGTGTAGTTGCCGCCTCCTCAGACCTCAAATGTAGGTGCCGCTCCCTCGAATGTAGGTGCCGCCCCCTCGAATGTAAGTGCCGCCCCTCGAATGTAGGTGCCACCCCTCGAATGTTGGTGCCGCCCCTCAAATGTACCTAAATGCCGCCCCTCGAATGTAGGTGCCGCCCCCTCGAATGTGTGCCGCCCCCTCAAATGTTAGTGCCGCCCCTCACTCGAATGTAGATGCCGGCCCTCCTCGAATGTAAGTGCCGCCCCCTCGAATGTAGGTGCCGGCGCCCCCTCGAATGTAAGTGCCACCCCCTCAAATGTTAGTGCCGCCCCCTCGAATGAAGGTGCCGCCCCCTCGAATGAAGGTGCCGCGCCGCCCCCTCAAATGCTGGCCCCGGCCACTTATGCATAGGTGTCATCGGTCATCCCATAAAATGTAGGTGCCGTCCCTTCGAATGTAGATGGCACCCCCTAGGGTGTAGTTGCCGCCCCCTAAGGCTTAGTTGCAGTGCAGCCCGCCCCTCGAATGAAGGTGCCGCGCCGCCCCCTCAAATGTTGGCCCCGGCCACTTATGCATAGGTGTCATCGGTCATCCCATAAAATGTAGGTGCCGTCCCTTCGAATGTAGATGGCACCCCCTAGGGTGTAGTTGCCTAAGGCCTAGTTGCAGTGCAGCCCCCCCCCCCCCAAATGTAGGTGCCACCCCCTAAGTATAGGTGCCACCCCTTGAAATGAAGGTGCCTTTCCCTCACATGTAGATACATGCCGCCCCCGCCCCCCATGCGTGGTTGCCGCCCCTCAAGTTTGTGTGCCGTCCCTCAAGTTAGGGTGCTGCCCATAAAATGTTGGTGCCGCCCCCTCTAAGTGTAGGCGCTGCCGCCTCAAGTGCAAATGCCATCGCCGCCCCCTCTAATGTAGGTACTACCCTCCTCTCAAGAGCTTGAGCTGTCACAAGGCCGTGAGCTGTCGGACATGCAAAAGTGACCAGTTAAAAAAATCGTGGATTTCGATTCCTGGTGCGCCGCTCACCGCTCAGTGAGGGGTGGGGGTGGTGCCCAGTGGAGGTCGCGGGGGGGGGGGGGGCATCAGGGCCATGGCCCCACTAACACAAATCAAGGGCTATCATATAATTTGCCCCCTTAAACAACCGATGGGCCCCGATGGGCGTAGGGGCCCTGGCTCTTACCCGATTGTCACGAGGCTCAAGAAACCAACGCCAGGTATTATGTAACAGCCCCCATACCGGTCTTTGAGTATCCTGACTTCTGAGGGCACTTCAGTGGCCTTCAAGGGCCCACCTTGACCGATGAGAGCCCACATCGACCTCTCAGGGCCCTCCACTGGCCCTTGAGGGCCCTAAAGCGGCATCAGGAGTCCCCTAACCGGCCTTTGAGGGCCCCACACTGATCTCTTGATGGCCTCATTTCTGTCGCTGGGGTTCAGGACTGACCTTTGGGTGCCGGTCACTAAGAGCCCGCATCAACCTCTGAGGGCCTAAAACTGGCCTTTGAGGGCCCTGTACTGGTCTCGAGGGCTCCCAAACTGGTCTCTGGGGGTCCACGCCTCTAATGGCCTCATTTCTTCTTCTGGGGACCCAAGACTGGCCTTTGGGTGTCCCCGAGGGCCCGTACTGTCTTCTGAAGGCCCGATGCCGGTCTCTAAGGGCCCACATCGGCCTCTGAGGGCCCTATGCTGACCTCTGGGGTCCAACACCGACCCATGCTGGTCTTTTAGGGCCCACACTGACCTCTGAGGGCTCCACGCTGGCCTGTAAGATACCACACCGGCATGTGAGGGCCCACGTCGGCCTCTGATGGTTCCAAACTGCCCTTTGAAGGCTCTGTACTGGTCTCTGAGGGCTTCACACTGCCGGTGCGGACCCACGCTGGTCTTTTGAGGGTCCAAACTGGTCTATGACGGCCTAAACTGGCCTCCTAGGGGCTAGGGCCCAACACCGTGGCTTCGGATGGCCCAATTTCTGTCTCTGGCGGACAAAGACTAACCCTTGGGCACTTCTGAGGGCCCGTACTGGCTTCTGAAGGCCCGATGCCGGTCTCTTAGGACCAACATTGGCCTCTGAGGGCCCATCCTGGCTTTTGAGGACGCTCTGGCCGGTCTTTTAGGGCCCCATACTGACCTCTGAGGGCTCCACGTTGGCCTGTAGAAATCACACTGGCCTCTGAGGACCCACGTCGGCCTCTGATGGTTCCAAACTGACCTTTGAAGGCTCTGTACTGGTCTCAGAGCCCAGAGGGCCCTAAACTGGCCTCTGAGGGCCCCAAACCGGCCTCTAAATGTCTCACACCGGCTGCTGATAACCCCATTTCTGTCACTGACACCCAAGGTTGGCCCTTGTCCCTTGGGTGCCTCTGAGGGCCCCGTACTGGCTTCTGAAGGCTCTATGCCGGCCTCTGAGGACCCATGACGGTCTTTAGGGGCCCTGTGGTTGTGTGATCCTCGATTGTCTCCCTGGAGCCGCCTCTGCGATGACTTGCCCGCCGGCGCATGGGCCGACGGCTGGGGTCAGCGGGCGCGGTTGGAATGTGAACCAGTCTTGTTCGAGACACAATGCAAGCGGGAGCCCTACTGTCGCTTATAACAGGCCCCACACTGGACTCTGAGGGCCCCAAACTGGCCTCAATGGGCCCCAGCCGGTCTATGGGGTCTCTACACCGCCACTGATGGCCCTATTATGGTCTCTGGGGTGCCAGGTTAGTCTGGTCCCTGAGGGCCCACATCGGCCTCTGAGCCTGGGGGCCCCATACAGGCCTTTGAGGGCCAATACCGGCCTTTGAGGGCCCAACACCGACCTCTGAGGGCCCGAATCGGGCTCCTCTGAGGGACCCACGCTAGCCTCTGATGAACCCACTCCGGTCGCTGGGGGCTCAAGATTGAACTTAGGGTGCCTCGCACTGGGCTCTGAGGGCCCACATTGACCTCCGAGAGCTCAACACTGGCCTGTAAGGGATCATATTGGGCTGGCCTCTGATGACCAACTGGTTTTGGAGGGCCAGTACTGGCCAGTGGCCACTCAGGGTCCCAAACCGGCTTTTGAGGGCCATAACCGGCATCTGATGGACCGAACCGGACACTGGTGGCCCAAAACAGGCCTCAGAGGGCCCCGCACCAGACTCTGAGAGTCCCATCTTTAGTCTCTGGGGTCCAAGGAAGAACTTTTGGCGTTTCATGCCGTCCTCCAAGGTTCCCTGTCAGTCTCTGTTGGTCCCCATGTCGGAATTTCGGAATTTGAGGGTCGTTATCTCGTCGCACCGGGCCGGCATTAAGGTCTATTACCATATCGGGGTCACATCGGTTTCTGAGGGCCCATGTCTGCTGCCAAGGGTCCCTGGTCTTTGATAGTTCCATTTAGGTCTTCGAGAGCCCGGGCCTGCCCATCATAGGCGCCTCATGCTATCTTCTCATTCTCTGCCGATCTCTGAGGGCCCCTGTCGATCTGTTTGGCCCGTGCAGGTTTTTAAGAGCCGCTGCTAGTCTCTGAGAGCCCCATGTCGTTAGTTGTGTCTATTTTGGGTCGCATTGGCACCACACATGTCTCTTAGGGCCCATACCAGTCAAGGGGTCCCACATTGACCTCTGAAGGACCAACGCTGGCCTCAAGGGCTCACACCACCTCAGAGGTTCCGAACTGACCTTTGACGACCCCGCACTGGCCTTTGATGACCCCGGGCCCGCACTGGCCTCTGGTGGCTCAGGCAGGTCTCGTAAGACCCACGTTGGAGTTCAAAGACCCATACTGCTGTGCGAGGTCTCACCCGGTTTATGAGGGTCAATCTCAATACTGGCCTTAAATGATCTTACGTCGGGCTTATATAAGGGTCTAATATTGGTTTCAGAAGTTTTCCGCTACTTACCAAAAACTTCAGGGGGAGGCGGCGGATATTCGCCCCCCTCCGCGGTACGCGGGTTAAGCTAACACACCGCCCCCCAGCGAGGCTCTACAGGGGCCCCTTTGCCAATTCCCCCCCCCCCCCAACGCCAAGTTTACGACCGTACCTGGTGGCGCCCACTTCCGGACTATTGCGCCCCTCGGAACCGCTTTGGGCGCCCTTTCAGGTCTGTGCAACCCCAATAAAAAACAAAAAAATCCACCCCTGTGGGAAAATGGCATGTGCGGGCGAGGGTTAATGCAATTCAGTCAAAGGTCATAACACATACAACAAAAAGTACCTATATTGAAGCACACTAGTTGTGGTCTAACGAAGGTTTTCTGTCCTTTGAACCGCAAGAAAAAGGCGTGTGTGGACGTCGGATGGCGACAACGCCCCAACAGCGTAGACGGTCAGGCACCCGTCGAAATCAAAGTGCGAGACATTTTCAGCCACAGTGCACTCATTTAGCTTCATAAGATGCTCTAAACACGACCGGTAGCTCGTGCCCAGTTGGGCTATTGGCGGACCCTACCACCCGTTGGGGGGGGGGGGAGGGAGCGTTTCGGCCCCGCCCCCCTCAGATCTCGGAAAGTTACCGGCCGATTTTGAGAATACAAACGGCGTCGATGGCGACACCAAAGAACTATCTCATAACCACGTCATCACGTTGACATAGGTGTAGCCGATGACGACACAGGTCAGATCAAAGGTCGCATTTTTCACCGATTACGGGCCTTCTAAGAAATGTGTTATAACATCGAATAAAAGGCATGTTATCGAAAATCATCGATGCAGCGTTGGTCACCTAATACATATGCTGCTTAGGTCACTGATGCCAGGTCAGGTCACTGAGGCCAGGTCACAAAGGGTCACAAAACACAATATGGACCCAACTACTAGCGTCGTGTGATGCATGTTTTATGGCCAATTTTACATTTTAAATTCAATGGTGCAGGATTACACGACCATTAGGGCCGGTTCAGGTTCCGTTCTGGTGGAGGTCAGGTCAAGGTCAGGTCAAAAAAGGTCAAATTTCAAAGTTGATATTTGTCATAAAAAGGGTGTCTACGCAGCTCATCACGGGGAATCCAATTGGTGGTCTTTGTTTTATTCTGCGTGGTCTATAACGGGTAAGCATTGAGTTTGAGCAACCCGTTACGGGCATCGTAGGCAGATAATTGTAGGATTATTTTACCAAAGGGCATTGTAGTATTAGGTACAGCCCTCTGCAAACTGCGTGGGGTAGGTATTCTTTTTTCGACAAAACCGAGAATAACGCAAATACTATGCTTTCGGTCACTCGAAAATCGTAGCAGCAAGATGCGCGAGACTCCGCACCCTAGCTTGGCATTATTATCGTATTCCTTTTTCACCCAGTTTGGCAACAAAACCCAAAAGTTTATATTTGCCCCCAAAACAAACTTTTACATTTTGTTGCCACACAATGCGGATAGTTCGATTTGTGATAGACCTAATCGAAGGAGTGGAGCATGGCGAATCTATTCGCAGTGAGTTCCGACCGACTTGATAACATATAGCCTTTGAGTTATCATCAGTTTCATCGGAAAAAGAATACCTACCACGCAGTCTGCTGAGGACTGTACTTTACTTAGTAAAGTAATCTTGATAGGGACCTGTCATTGGGTGTCTACCCCGTTGGTGATAATAGGCCTATAAATAAACAGTGAACAACAATTCCATCCAGCTCAAACCCTCAGTCGTGTGAGTCTCAGGGATACCCCGTCTGCAACCCTCCTGGCCAAATCCTGGACTTATGCAGTCCAGCCAGCAGTACTCCACCGACAAGTTTCAGCAAGCAGCAGACTGACCAATGGAAACTGACCATAATACGCGGGAATTCCGTCTGGAAAACACGCAACTGAAGATGTCTGGAAAGATTGGGGAATTCCTAATGAAAACCCAAAAGCTTAATAAATTGAGCCGTGCCCTGGGAGAAGCGCGGTGTTGCAACGCAGCTGACAGCTCACAATGAGACAGACAGACAGACAGACAGACATGACAGATGACAGACAGACAGACAGACAGACAGACCTTCCTGTCGGCGGGAGGCCAGTGATCCGTCCTTTCCAACTCTCGGTAGGCGGGGGTCCCGGTCTGGCTAGTCTGACCTCTCCTCCAGTGACCCCTCCCCTCCCCGTCAGGCGGGGGTCCCGGTTTGGCGCAGCTGACCCCTCCCCTCCCCGTCAGGCGGGGGTCCCGGTCTGGCGCAGCTGACCCCTCCCCTCCCCGTCAGGCGGGGGTCCCGGTTTGGCGCAGCTGACCCCTCCCCTCCCCGTCAGGCGGGGGTCCCGGTTTGGCGCAGCTGACCCCTCCCCTCCCCGTCAGGCGGGGGTCCCGGTCTGGCGCAGCTGACCCCTCCCCTCCCCGTCAGGCGGGGGTCCCGGTCTGGCGCAGCTGACCCCTCCCCTCCCCGTCAGGCGGGGGTCCCGGTCTGGCGCAGCTGACCCCTCTCCTCCCCGTCAGTCGGGGGTCCCGGTTTGGCGCAGCTGACCCCTCTCCTCCCCGTCAGGCGGGGGTCCCGGTCTGGCGCAGCTGACCCCTCCCCTCCCCGTCAGGCGGGGGTCCCGGTCTGGCGCAGCTGACCCCTCCCCTCCCCGTCAGGCGGGGGTCCCGGTTTGGCGCAGCTGACCCCTCCCCTCCCCGTCAGGCGGGGGTCCCGGTCTGGCGCAGCTGACCCCTCCCCTCCCCGTCAGGCGGGGGTCCCGGTCTGGCGCAGCTGACCCCTCCCCTCCCCGTCAGGCGGGGGTCCCGGTTTGGCGCAGCTGGACGCAGTCGGTACCGTCGAGGCGGCCGTGGAGCGGCTCGTGCAGAGGATCGTCGCCACTGTCGGAGCTCGCGACCCGCGGTTCGCCGCCTGCTTCCTGCTCAGCGTCGGCAGCTCGTACGAACACTACAAGGTAACGTACGTGTTTTAGACGTATAGATGTATAGACGTAGGTATATCTATATGGACACTACAAGGTAGCGCATGGACATTGGACATTGCAAGGTAACGCAGATCGAACGAGGTAACACGCGGTTCGTGTTGACACCACGCGATAACGCATGAGCAATAATCTCGTACGAACGCATAATCTCGTACGAACACATACAGGATAGCACAGCTTGCACGATTTACATATGCTTACTAGATACATCCTCAACCTTGACTTCCGAGCAATCTTATTGCCCCACATCATCAAAGTCCCCACGGCTCGTTCGGAATTCCGTTCAGGAAATCCGACTGGTCGTGCCGGTGTGTTGATGTGCCGACCCGTCTGTCCCCCGCCCTCTGATGACGTCACGGATGGAACACAGCGCCGGAGCCAGACGAGGTCACGGTATTGTTCGCTCCCCTCTCCCTCCCAATATCCACCCGCCACGTAGGTACGGCGCGTGCCGCCGCACGTGTCACGAGTGTTACCGAAATGGGCGCACGACGTGGCGAGCTGCCGCGCGATTTCGGACGGGCCGCACTGAGTGGCGGGGCTGCCCCACCACAGGTGCAGTCCCGGGGTTCCCCGTCGTAGTGAGATAGGTGCACGCCGCTCAGCGCGCGCTGCACCACCACACGGGATCGGGAAGTAAGCACCGGCCTTGGAAATTCCGGTCTGGAGGTTTGCCCTCTCATTGGGATGCACCGACCGCAGGATGCAGCATCGCTGATGCGTTTCTTTTTTCCAACCAAAGGAAGGCGCTATACCCGAAGATGCTTCTTGGTAAACAAACCAAACAAAAACAAACATAACCTAACCTCACCTGACCTAACCTACAACCTACAAACCTACAACCTAACCTACAGACCTACAACCTACAAACCTACAACCTAACCTACAACGCGCCAGAAAGTTCGGCCGGCGGCGGGGATTGGACCCTAGTTATTGGATCACGAGGCGAGTGTGCTCACCACTACACCACGCAGCCAGCTGGCCGGTGAGAGGTGTAAGTCACTTTTCAATGACGCAATGGGATATTCTCCGTATAGCGCCTTCCTTTGGGTGGAAAAAGAATTACGCATCGCTGATAACCTGCGGAGTTGGTATATGGCTTCAAACCGGAACCGCAATGACATGGTTGACCTGGTTATTGTTGCATTAGGGGTCGGTAACTATGATGCGACCTCAGGGTCATCTGAACATTCAAGGAAGCTTGCTAAGATGTTGCCTTCTTGGCCACTACAGATATTTTATTTCAGTGAAATGTTATTAAATGGATGAAAATCCCACCGCTGTATTCCATCTGCACGAACTGTTACTACTCTTACAACATGCTTAGTTATATTGTAGCCAAAACTATCGCTTAATCTTCAGCAATGTTGGTCACCCACGAGTACCGTCTGATATCAATAAACCCCTCTCGACCTCTGCCGCAATGACCTCTCCCCTCTCCTCTGTGTGTCTCAGGTGAACGAGCCAGACGAGTACGACTACATGGTGCGCCTGGACAGCCTGTCCTGGCCGCCCCTGTACCCCGGTGACGACGCCGAGCCGCCCTGTGAGCTGCTCGAGGACCAGCGGTGTCCGCAGGGCTTCGGCAGGCTGCGGCTGGCCGAGCGGCACAGAGACACCTGGGCAGAGTTTGTCGACGGAAACGGACTGCTGATGCGGTGGGTGAGCGTCACACACAGATGGGGACATGCACCTCACAGGGACGACATATCCCATATCGGGATATCCAGCAGCGAACTGACAAAAGACATCAATTCGATGCCGGAGTTGCTGTCTTTTGTCAGCAGAGGTATAGCGCGAAGGTGTGAACATTAGGTGACGTGTTGAACCTTCCGTAGAAATAGAAGTGAACAAAGTTGTTAGGCTACCGCATGTTTTTTCGTAATGATTTATCCATTATTTTGCCTGAAAATGCACTTTGAACATACGCATAGTCAAATGAATCCTTCTGGCTTCAGGACCTTGTCGTTATCGTCTAAACAGTAAACCTCTAACATCGAATAATCATTGCCTCCATTCATAAACGGTCTTCGGTCGGCGAACTTCTACCGGACACTCTCGTATTTCTGGCACGCAGTGAGCGTCTGCGGGACCGTTTCCTGGCGCTGGTGCGGGAGGCGGTGGCCAACCCGATCACCAACATGCGGGACGTCCAGGAAGCCTCGCTGTGCGGCTGCTCGGGCAAGATCGTCGACATCGGCGTCCTCGAGTACATCCTGCGACTGCCGCCCGAGCAGAGGTTCTTCCTGGCCATCGGTGAACCATGGGAGAGGGAGGGAAGGGAGAGATGAGATGGGGAACGTCAGGGCTAAGCGGTGGTGGGATGAGGTGGAAAATATGTCTGGATGCCAAGGCATTGGGCGTTCGGGGTCCCTATTGTTCAGGGTTCCAGATGACGATGACAATGAGGAGAGAGACTTTTGACATGAAAATCACCCAGGCACCGATACATTCGCCCTGCATCTCTCAGAGACAGCGGTCGGAATCACGGCCTTCTCTTGGCTTATCGACATCTTGACCAGTGACCGTGCCTCCCTCCCCAGGTGACCCGCGCAGTGACCTGTTGCTCTCCCCAGGTGACCCGCGCAGTGACCTGTTCCCGGACCCGTCCCAGCTGGACATCGCGGTCACCTGTGACGGTCCCTCTGTGAAGCTGGACGTGCAGTTCCCGGCCGGCAGCTGCTGTGGCGGCGGCGGAGCGCTGCCCGGTCGGGTCTCCATCGACCTGACGCTGGCCGTCGGGCTGACCGGCTGGCCTACGCGGGCGGATTTCCCCGACAGGGTGCCCCTCTCCAGCGTGGACGCACTGGTGGTGCACCGAGCAGCCTCCAAGGTGGGTTAGGGATCGACGAGCTATCTTAAAATGGGATGCATCAGGCAGGCATCGGCTAAACGGGAGTCGGGAGACAAGTTGGGCAAGAAAAGAGTTGAGAGACGCAATGGATGGCTGGCATGGCACGGGAAGTGGTTGGGGGAGGACGGGAGGTGTCTGGGACACGGGAACTCGCTGTAACTCTGAAGTTGTTTTAGTGAAGGGGAAGAAGAAACCTTGAACATCTTACTATACCAGTTGTCCGTGACATGGAGAACATACACCACCAAACTCGCTGTGCTGACGCATACACTGCGCTCACCTCCACTTTATAAACAACAGGCGCGGATACAAGGGGGGGCCATGGGGGCCATGGCCCCCCCCCTTGGCCGATTTTTTTTTTCAAAAATAAAATAAAAAGTTAAAAAGTTAAAAAGCTGAAAAGGGGGCCTCCTGAAAATAAAGTGGCCGAAATCCGATGAGTTTTTTTTTTAACCTACCCACTTAGTTATTTCTTAGAAGACTAGCTGAGAAGACTTCTTTGTTAGAAGATTGGTAAAGCTTTTCATAACTTGGAGGTCTCTTATACTCACAGAGATGACCACTTTTACAGGGCCTCCTAACCTGCACAGAGGGCCTCCAAGCCTGCACAGATGTTGAGATGTTGCCTGAACAGCTAGATAAGCTCAATAGACGCAGTTTTTTTTTGGGGGGGGGGGGGGCCAACAAGTGGGAAGATGGGGCCTCCAACAGGTGGGATTATGGGGGGGCCTCCTGGTTTCTAATGGCCCCTCCCTTGGAGATTTTCTGGATCCGCCCCTGATAAACAATGCCACTGAGCGCAGCGCACCCGAGTTTTGCCGTGGTCGCCTATGACGCTATCCGCTCTACGGTAGTGGGTGGTCGGCCCGCTCTGAGGCCTGGTACGGGCGATATCACGCGGCACGTGAGCTGACTGACCGCCGACACCGGACACCCAGTCGGGAATGTCACGCCGACTCCACCGCTCGACAATGTCACATATACAATACAATACTGTAGGGTAAGGTGCCTAATTAGCGACCCCCTTAATTTGAACCGTCATTGCTCACGCTCTGTGGGTGCCACTGTATTACTGGCTTGATTTTCGGAGAGATGGTTCATTTTTCTACTAAAATATAGTCATTTTCTGCCCCAATGTTCACTAACTTATTTGTAGTGAGCATTTTGCCAAACCATTGCAAAAAACGCTAATAGGGAACTCTTCCCAATTAGCGACCGGGGAGGGTCGCTAATAAGTCTATGGGTTTCCCCATATTAAAAATGGCAAAAAATGCGACGCCTGAAAAGATGAAATATGATCTCAAAAAGGTAACCTATACGCAAAGCACTCAATCACTCGAACAGGAACGTTTATCCAACACATTTACGGAAGTAAAAACTGATCACGTGATGCACCGAAGGCGAAAAGAAGGCGGAAACCCAAATTTTGCGGGCTATCTCGTATGATATTCGAGGTCCTCGCTGAATTCGGCACCCCTGCAGTCGGTGACGACATTTGGCATCCCCTGCCACACATTGCAAGCTTCAGCAACACCTCATTTTCATTTCTCTCTTTTCCCCCTTCTTTCCCTTCTTGAGCTATTTGCGACCATGTCAGGCGCAAATAGGAAATATGAGTTGCGACACATTTTTAACCGCCATGCTGTGCACAGTTGAGCGATTCACTATGGGAAAACGGCAATCAATTGAAAAAGGAATGTCGATTCAGAATAAAAAAGGTGCATCATTCTAATGTGCATCGCTTTTCATCAGAGAGGGCCCAAACACACACGTTTTGGATAAGAAACTCGTCATTTTTATTTAAACTCACCTGAAACGTCCCACCAGAAACATCGACGACCGGAAAATAATTTAATTTGATAACCAAAGTATGGCTGACCTTTTGACGATGTTTTTACCCCGTTTTCTCCTGCCAGTTTTTCTGTAGGGAGGTAGGTCGCAAATCGGAAAGGGTCGCTAATTAGGCACCTTACCCTACGTCACGTCACCAGTTCCACGTAAAGGGCCCATTTCGAACCCTAGCCGCTATGACGTGAGAAAACAAAGTACCTACCCACCTACCACTCATCTGGCTTGTGGCGACTTCACGATATTTTGCGAAAAACGATAAATCTTGAGCGTTAGCATTTGGTCACATTAACAATGAAGTAGATGTGATATGCTTCCGTGTTTCTCAGTGCATCCATAGTCTCCAACGATGTAAATATTCATGAACCCAGAGTCGTACACAAAGAGATGACGTCTGACGTCAGGATCCGTTTTCACGCATTTACCAATTCTGTTCACGCCACGGAAATCGGTCACACCATTGTAAACACTTCTGAACGGCCGCTTACCCACAGAAAGCCATGTTTTATTCCGTCTGCTGCGCCGGTTCCTGCCGAGCCGCGGCGGCGCCCGTTTGTGATGGGGGGAACTATACGCCGTGGCCGGTATACCGAGGCACGTTCGGAGGTCGGCGCGGGCTCGCGGTGACGAGGCACGTGCTGGTGTGGAGTGGCGGAGGACAACCTCTCCCACCCGGCCCAGCCAGCCCCCCCCCCCACCCCCCACCCCACCCAACACATCCGTAACCACTTTCAGCCTGTGATGTGTGCACTGTGCACTGTGAAGTGCGCAGTGTGCAGACATACCGAATCGCGATGCGCCGTTTTCCGTCGCACGAATGGCAGCGGGTTACACATGGCCAGTCGTGGAGCAAACACTGCGCTGCATTTCAGAGTAGCACTGGACCAGACAGTCAGCAGACGGTAGTCAACACCCTGGTCCGCACTGTTTGAGATGGAGGAGCGGTCATTTACGCGAGTCAGAAAATCCAACACCGCTCCTCGGGTGTGGCGCCGTAACCGTGTAAGGAAAACTGCGCCGCAAAGTGCAGCTTATAGGCACCACTTTGTTCACTCAAACGCCAACATTGTTGAAGAGCTACTTTAGCGTAATCCAGTGAAGTGGCAGGGAAGCAAACACTGTGAAAGGTTTCACCGCGTTCTCTTCGCGGGTTAAATTTGGTCATTGATTACGCCTGGGAAACGAAAAAGAAGGTCTAAAAAACATAGATAGTCAACCGATACAGTTACATCGAGCCTATCATAGCCGGTCATAACCTGGCGCATGACATCACCTGACCTTGTGAGTTGTTCGGCCCTGTCCCTTCCACCGGCGCGGCGGCGTGCCTAGTTATATCACGGTGTCGACGGGGCATCCGGCCAAACTGCAACCTGACCTTATGACTTGACCTCGAGACCTGCACTGACCCGGGTACCTGAATTGAACCTAGGACCTGACTTAGCCTTGTGATTTAGGCTATTTTGTCATTTGTGACCTGACCCCGTGGCCGTCGTTCCACAGGGTTTTTACATGGTGCCGACGGAGCCGCACCCGAGCCACCCGTGCGCCGGTCGCTCCACCGTCTGGCGCGTGAGCATGTCTGCGGCGGAGATGGAGCTGAGCACGCACTACTCACACGACTCAGCGCCGGCCGCAGTGCTCCGGGTGCTGAAAATTATCAGCTCACAGCTCAGCGAGCCAGACACCATCCTCAGCCGGCAGCTGCCGCCCACTCAGGTCAAGGTTAGTCAAGGAGAGGCCAGGGTCTGTGAGGTCAAAGAGCATAAGGTCATGGTCGATGCAATTTTAAGCGTAGCATAAACGCAAGACCGTTCACGGATAACTACAGTCGCCGTCTCCTTTTGTTGTTGTCACAAATTCACCGCTCGGTACGTTCGATATGTGGCCCTCTGCGACATCCATCAGTGATATTGTACTCTCTCACCAGGACCTGCTATCATGTGTGAGCACCTACATGCTCAAAACGCTCTTCTACTTCGAGCTGGAGTCGGACCCGGAGCTCTCCAACTGGGGTCTCGGCTCCGTGTCGCGCCACGTGCTGCGCATTCTGGACGCCCTCGAGCAGGCGCTGCGCTACAAGAACCTGCGCAGCTACTTCTTCCCGGGCCATAACGTGATACTGCGGAAGGACTGCCGGCCCTCCGAGTACACCGTAGACGCGACTGTGCTGGAGCGCTTCCTGAGGACCCTGCACTCGGCCAGCAGCGCCGGCGACAGGCTGGTCCGACAGGTGAGCGCCGAGCGGGTCATCGCGAGCTGCTGGGAGAGACGTCAGGCAGAGCTGACCTGACCTCAGCGAGGATAATTGATGTTTAGGAGATCAGTCCCGCCTTGGTCGATTTGGTTTGTTTAGGCGTCCTGGGTAGCAGCGGGCAAACCTGAGAATCTTTGTGTCTTACCTCACGCTCCCTTAATCGCTACCCCTGGCTCGACTTGGGACTACCTGTGCTCTGCCCTGGCCCCCGTGCCCCACTTTGACCTGATCTACCCTACCGTTAGACCCCGAAGTGCCGGTAACTGCAAGTAACCCGACCTTCCTACCCGCTAGGTTCCGGAACCAGCGGGTTACACGGATGACCAGCGGGAACGACGGTAACCACAGGTGACATGACCCTCCCTCCCTCGCCTGCCCGCCAGCTTCCGGAGCGCCGATGGCTGCGGATCCACCGGCGCCGCGTGCGCCAGGAGGAGCGGCTTCTGGCCGTCTGGCTGAAGCTGCTGGAGCGACAGCAGCGCCACCTGCCGGCCGGCCAGTTCAGCCAGCAGCAGGTCGAGTACCTGGACGAGCTGCTGCGACAGGTGGCGCAGTCTGGCGGGCGGTCCGAGAAACTGGCCGACGGCGAGAAGGACCTCAGCTCCGTTGTGAGTAACGCAGAGTCAGCTTAGAAGTGCTCACTTCTCGGACTCAACATTAGTTGGATTATTTTGAAGTTGTTTGAAATTAAAAAAGCGGTCTTCTCAGTATTCGCAGAAAACTCAAGAAGCATACCTACATAGCAACCGGGGTCGTCTTAGCCAGCGCAAGCAAAAGAAAAAAAAGCATTCAAACTCAGGACAGATTCGATATTATTTATATTTCGACGACGCTTTTCATACACGACAATGCCTCTGTCTGTCTGCTCAGGTGCTGCTGTCGCTGACGGTGGCCGCCCACCAGCTGTTCCCCTCCGGTCGTCTGGGCGACTCCCTGACCCAGCAGTCGCGCGGTCTGGGCCCGGCAGTCCAGCTGGCCGCCGCCACCGCCGCAGCCGCCGCCGACGAGCCGGCCGGGAGGACGCTGGTACGAGCCCTGCGCGTGCTGGGTGCCCAGACGGAGAGCGGTCGCAGCACGGGGCGACTGCTGGCGCGACTGTACACGGCCGCGGCGCTGAACGGAGCGCTGCTCGGAGAGGACCGCGACCGGCGGGATCTGACGCAGCTGAGACAGATGGCGCAGTTCGCCGCCGCCGTCTGCGGCCAGGTGAGACGACGGCACCGGAACACTTCAGCCTGAGTAGCACACCTCTGTATGATGCTCCAATCAATACCAACGGATAGCAGATGTCGCCAGCCACCTGGTGGTATAAGACCAAAATACGCGTATTAGTTATAACTAAGCGTTCGTTATCCGCAAATCCGTTTGGATCCGCAGCCACCGGCCGCCGGCGCTCCGGAAGCTGGCGGGCAGGTGAAGGAGGGTCATGTCACCTGTGGTTATCGTCACTCCCGCTGGTCATCTGTGTAACCCGCTGGTTCCGGAACCTAGCGTGTAGGAAGGCCAGGTTACTTGCAGTTAGAGCGTTTGTGATCATCGTCATATATGACGATGATCACAAACGCTCTAACATATCATCTTGAAACGACCTGTCACAGCACCCCTGTCGGCCGTCCGCAGATGGGCAGCGCGTCTGCCGAGCTGGAGGAGCGCTCCCGCAGCGGCCAGCTGTGGGCGCAGCAGCTGCTCGAGCTGTCGGAGCGGCTGGGCTGCGTGCGGCTGGTGTTCACTCCGGAGAGGGGCCGGACCATTAGCTGCCTGGTGCGGCCCGGCGGCAAGAGCCCGCCGCCGCTCCGGCCCAGTGAGAAAACGACACAGCGGGGCGCGGCCGGGCGGAGGTCGGCCACCTCCCGGGGTTATAGAGATCGACACAGCGGGACCTCCCGGGGTTATAGAGATCGACACAGAGGGACCCCCGGGGTCATAAGTCTCATACAACTTTACCGAGCAAACGTGTCAACTTCAGAATTCACATATGTGAGGTTTATTGAGAGCATCAGGTCTTCTTCAGGTTCCAAAGTAGGTTAGTTGTATTGTATACACTCAGAACAATCTCGGTCTTTGATCGAGAAACACGAAACATGCATGGCGTTTCGTGCGAACGTATCCAGTCGTTCGCAACGTAATTGAAGTGCTCTTCAACGTTTCCCAGGGGTAGAGCTAGAGAAGGACCTGGAGTTTCTGCTACAGGAGGCTGAAATGGAGGACAGCAGCGCCCCGCCGGCCCGCACCGTCCACTGCATGCTGCAGTTCGCCAACCCCATCAGGTAGGTCCGGACCGGCCACCGTCACTGCTCCGTAATAATTAAGAGAAACGTCTTCAGGCCTCTTTATATGAGCAAAAGGCTATCCGTAAATCGTTATATGAGTCAAAAGGCTTGTTCGGGTGTTAAGTTTGCATTGCTGCTATCCAGGTGGCACTGGCCGCTTTGCTCCACCCAGAGTTCCGATTTCCGATGCATCTAATCGCAGACATTTCTGGAACTATAAGTTACCGTCCCTGTCGCTAGATGTCACTAGCTTGACCTCCCTCCGCCAGGTCGCACGTGGACCACCTACGGCGCTACGGTCGCCAGCGCGGCCTGGGTCACATCGTACCGGCCATCATCAGGATGGGACAGGGAGAAGTGAGTAGACAGGATATGGTAATTAGTAAAACTGCAGTGGAATTAATTGTAGGGCAGGGCCGTACCTACCTATATGCTGTAGGTAGGAGTGTAGAAGTTACCGGCCACAAGCGTAACCCACGCGCCGTTTCCACAGTAAACGACCTGAGGCAAACAATGATAAATGAAGTCGGCGATTGATAGATTAGGATCAGTGAATAGTCATTTAACTAGTCATCCGGCTTCCCCTCCTCACCTGCTGAAGAAACTGACGGACGGTCTACCACTCCCTCCCCCTATGCCTTACTGACCTCCCTCCCCTAACTCCCTCAGCTGCTGGAGAGACTGGCGGGTGGTCTCCCTCTCCGCTACCCTTCTCTGACCTTCCCTCCCCTTATCTGACCTCCCCTCCCCTAACTCCCCCAGCTGCTGGAGAGGCTGGCGGACGGTCTGCCGCCTCCGGAGCGATCTCTGGCGCTCCACCAGCTGCAGCAGTGTCTCTCTGCCATGGTGCCCGGAGGCAGACCTGCCACGAACTCTCAGACGAGCCGTGACAAGGTCGGTAATTGTTGACCGTTATAAAAAGCTGTTTCTCTTGTCATAATCGATGAAGTTTAGGGGTTTGGCCCTATTGAAAACCATTTAAGAACAGGTTTCTGCCATTTTACCTCTCGTTTTCCATCGACGGGAAAGCCGGTGCCTTTTCAGGCTGCAGGCAGGAAGAAGTTTCTAACTCTGCAATGGTGGACGAGAATCCAAGGTTAAGTAGCCATGGGCAGAGCTGATCCGAAGACATGATAGGTCACACAGGCGGTGCCCCCAGCCCCGCAGGTCACATTGTACGAACAGTGGAAAGGAACCTGGTCGAGCCATGGCTGGATTCGGCCGTCATCTTTTGAGTGTTCTAATTTGATTTTGGTAAAGACTTAATTATATGCCTTACATAACAACGGGCCAGGAATATACGCTTTTGCGATGTCATGAATGTCTATCAGTTATAGATCAATTATTATTTCGGCATTTAATTGAATTATTCCCTAGCTGCTAACTAAATCAGATGCTCTTGTGGTGTAGCTGGCATGCCTGTCGCTCTGTTAGTGCCTGCGTGTGTGTAGGTGTCCCGAGCTGATGTTCTCCATAAAAAGACCGACGGCCTCATAGGTCAGCGTCTCGTCAGCGGCGGGGCGGTAGGCGGCGCACAGTGTCGATATCGATTACCGATGCGGGCGTTGATTTCGCACGCGGCCGCGTATCGATGTCGGTGGCTCGGGTCGGTACGGAGGGCCCACAGTGACCGCTGGCCACCTGACCGCTACCTCGGTCCGCAGGGCGCGCTGAGGAGCGACCGTACCGCAGACAGGAACGGCGCCCTGCCATCCGGAGCGGCCCACCAGCCGTCTTGGACCGCCGAACCGGGCCAGTCAGCGACTGACCGCGGCAGAGGAGCCACAGACGACCGGCTAGAGCTGCGGGACGCTGTGGACGCTCCGTCGGGGACCCTGGGGAGGGGAAACCCGGCCTTCTGCTCTGGGGACGAGCGGGACACCGAGGCCGAGTGGGTGATGATCGTACACCCGCCGGCCAAGGTGGCGGAGAGGCCAGCGAACGCCCAGTTCTCCACCAAACTGTGAGGAGACTGCGAGAGAGACGCGGTGAACGGGTAGCAGTCTGTATGCTAAGCGCGGCAGGTTAAACGAAGAACATTTTATCGGTAAATCAAAAAATGTTTAGGGTTGGTTAGCAGTGTTTATTGCAAAATAATGCGTTCTTGTGTGTATAACGTTAGTATGATTTTATTCGTCATCTGTACCAAGCATTTACTACTCTAATAAGAAGCCATCTGTATCGTGCCATGTCCTGTCAATGATGTGCTTTTATTGTGAGCACAAACATAATATTTTCCTGAGTACCTACATACGGCACGCGTTATTATCGATCGTTATCGATGGTGAGAATAACGTACTGCAGTTCCTGCAGTGTGTGTTCCTGTATGTTAAGTAGTGTTATTGGTATAATAAAATGGGTTTTCGGTATTTGTGAATGATGCAGCTATGAGCTAATAAACACGGGGTGTAGTACCTATATATGTAAAAAACAAATAAGCAACGCATTGCTGATTTGGCATCGCAACAAGATTCGCTTAGCTGTATAGTCTCGGACATTCCTAAATGACAAAACCGAATCATTTTGTCAATGTCACTGAAAGTTTCATTACACACCCAGACCTAACTAAACAAACAGTTGCTCTTGTTAACGTAGCTCTAAGCGAATAAAATAACCACAATAAATTGTCATGTTGGTGACGCACGCAAAAAAAAAGTAACCGCCACATGCACTTATTGATCACAGGTTCATTAATCATTTCATGGAAGAATGATATTGATGTACGTCACGAGCATCTCAAAATATAAATCTTGAACTGCGCAGCGCCGAGCATCTAAGCTTGATCTATGCATCCGGTACGGGAAAATGGCGTAAATTCAAGCAAATCACCACTGGTTCTCACACTAAATAAATGCTAGCAATGAAAATCATTTGAAATGAGAAAAGTTATAATTCTTAATAAATTATCGTTGATGGAATGGGTGGGAAAATCTCGATACCATTTCTCTGTCCAGCAGACCCAAAGAAAACCGAAGAATCGAAGCATGTAGCAGAAAAGAAGCCAGAGCCGGAAGAGGAGAAGGAGCCCTCTCCTCCACTGGACACGACGCCCGCTGTCGTCGAGGACACGTCTGTGGAAGCGATAGCGATCACATCCACCACAGAGCATGCTGAGCATCCGGAACGTCACGAACCCCCACACCTTGTGAGCAGTAGTAGCGTTCAGCCACGCAGTTCGTCGCCGCGGCCGATCCGGTCGTCGGCCGGCGTCGGCTACTCGTCGGCCGCCGCGCCCCAGGGACTGGACAGTCGCCAGAAGAGGGGCAGCATGCTGGCCCCCCTGATCAGCAGCGGCGGCTCCGGCTCCGTCGTCTTGGAGGCCTCCTCTCGGGGTGGCATGGCGCCGCCGCCGCGAACAAAGTCGCCGGTAGCGCAACAGTGAGCCCGCCCGGCACTCAACGGCTTCGTGGGACGGCCGCTACCAGTTGAGCGTTTTATACTTGATGCCTGTTTAGAACCGTTGCTAACGACAAGGTCATTTTATTACCTCGTATACAAGACGCGGTTTGTCTGACCTGATCTGGAGTTACGTAGGTAAGCCACTTCTAAGAATCGCAGAGGATAACTTCTATTCATTCTACATGGTCGATTTTTTTCAGTTACGAACTAATAGACTGTAAAATGTATTTCTAAAATATTGTTCGCGGTTTTCTTTACATGACGAAATACCAACGGATTCAATCTCTGTCACATTTGATGTTCTCATTCGGTTTGTGTATGATTTATGCCTTCGTTTGTGTACTTTGCCAAAGTTATTGCTTTAACTATACCGCAGCATTTTTCCATGTAAAAAGTCGATGTGATGTAAACTAACCTAACTTGTGCCTTAAAGTGCAAAAATAAACGCTTTAAAGAACCATGTTTCAGACTGATGTCTTCAGAATTCAATTGAGTAATCCTCGCAGCTTCTAATAAAACCCGCTGCATCCGGTCCCCTTTGTTCCCCTGTCGTCTGAGCGCCCTGCCGCCGGCCGCCGAACGGCTCAGTCCTTCCGCCGCCGCCGCCGCCGGCACCTTCACTGCCGCCCGTCGCGACCGACGCGGCCGGCAGCGTCGCGGCCGTCGTCGGCGTCGGCGCCTCAGCTGGGCGATCGATCGTGGCCGGCCGGCGCGCCTATTGATTCGGCTGCCGGCAGCAGTGGGTGCGCGGCACGAGAGAGCGAGCGAGCGCGAGCGGCGGCCTGCGAGCGAGTCGGCGCGCCGCCACCGTCATGTCGTGACCGCGATGTCCAGACCGAGCTCGCAGGCTGACTACGACCCGGAGGAGAGCAGCCTGTTCCGCGGACCGATCCAGGTGGGTGGCTGGGGAAGGAGGGTGGCCCCTGACGGACAGGTGGGCGCCGCGGCTGCGCCCCGGCCGCCGCGCCGCCGCCGCCGCCCGGACCCGGGCCCGGCCGCTGCGCCGCTCCCGAACGTGCCCTTCCATGAGGCGTGGTGTGGGAGCACTGTGGTTCAGTGACATAACGCTCAGAACTGAGACAGGGTGCTCGGCCCTGAGTCGTCAGAATCATTCATATGGTACGAGACATACAGATAATAGGTTGTGAGGAAGGAGGGGGCAAGTGCCCCGTGAGAAGTTACGATATCTCTGCGTTTACAACCCGTGTGCGGGGGCACGAACATCGTTTTGAGAAGAAGTTACGTTATATTCATGGCTGTGCTACTCCTACGGCACAAAATTCCCTTGAAATGACGCCGTTTATTTTTTTATACCTGAAGTGCCGTAATGCAGGTGGTATTACCAAAGGGTCTTACCAATTATGGTCCTCCAAAAGCCTTAAATAATACCGGCGAAATATCGAGAAAAAGTAATGTTGACATAATGATATTCAAAGAGCTGACATGACCTAAAACATTGATATTTGTAGAAGAAAAGCAAGCTTCTTTTGGTTATAAAATCGAGCGAGGGGCCCTTTCTTATGGGCCAATGTTACAAGGCACGTACTCGTATGCCAAACGATTGCCAAGGCAATACGATTAAAGAAACAAAAGCTCGTTTGTTTTGAAGAGATATTCAGAAGATGTTAGCATGATGTTAGCACGAGAGATGTGCATTCTGAATGGGAAACAACAGTCGCCGACATGAGCTGAAGGGTGAATGAGCTCGAATAAGATTAAAATTAAGAATCACCAAAGAGAGGAAAAAGGTAGACAAACTTGGACAAGCTGACCTTCCTGGATCAGTGGTGGAAGGTGCACATTCCGCAGCACACCAGCTAGGTAACGTGGACAATAGGGGTTAACTGAGTGATAAATGATCATCATCGATGCTAAATTGGCTAGACTAGTTAAATAATGAATTTAACAAAATGTTACGGCACATAAATGTCCTTACGTCGTTTCCAGCTCAGGATGTAACCACAAAGCAATGACGGTGACGATTCACTGTAACTGCTGATGTCGGTGAGTGGAGCCGTGAAGGTATGCTGCTGAGGCGCCCCGTGGTACCCCTCCCCACTGCCACGGATCGTATCACCCTGACCCGACTCAGACTGGTGTAGTTATCTGCAAGAATCTTGGGTGTAGTGACGACTTGGCTACAGGGCGCATGGTTGACCAGAGGGTCACCTTTTGCCTAGTGAGGTGAGTTCACAAAGGCGCAGCTTCCAATCATCAGTTGGATTACATGAACATCAAGACGAAGATTAGACAATGCATTTTGGTTTTGATCTCGTTTATTTGATACCATTGTACAAAAAGGACCCCAAATGAAGACGATTAAAAAAAGAGATAAAGGGACACACTAATTGTACCCACCCAAAAAAGCGAATTAAAGTCCGGAAAGCTGTCGTAAATCGTAATGGTCAAGACGAGGCCATGGTTGGACATGAAGCACGGTGGGGTGAAAAGAGTAACGTTTAGATAGCACGACAGGGAAGCTTTTTAATCAACGGTGTTCTTATGATCGTTGACTGACTGCCATCACTTTCAGACACGACTTCGAGGCGTTCGTCACCGCAGGAAGCAACACAACCGCTCCGATGGCAGCGTATCCGACAGCTCCAACAGCTTCATCAGACAGGTGAGGTCAAATCCTTCGGCACATGGTCCCACAGCATATCCAGCGTGTCCGACAGAACAGCTTCATCAGACAGGTGAGGTCAAATCCTTCGGTACATGGTCCCAAAGCACATCCAACCTGTCCCGCACACCCAGCCTTCACCAGGCAGGTAAGGCGAGGCACTGCGGCACCCTCGGTCCTAGAAAGACATCCAGTGTCTACGTCAGTTCCAATCCAACAGTTTCATCAGACAGGTAAGGCGAGATCCTCTAGCACTAGGGCCTTGTAGGTGACAGAGAAGAGAGTCCTTTAAACGACGACGGCGCTCAAGCGCCAACACTTGCATCTTGGGGCACCAGGCCAAGACATTCGAGCGAAAGTTGACAGCTCTTGTCAAGACATTCAGACAGACAAGACATTCTCGAGCGGAAGCTCCCTATGCTCTTGTATACCTGTTGTATGGCGGACGACTTTCTTCATCGACTTCTATACCACTGCTACAAGTATTGGTGAGTCCGTGAATGAGGAGGGTTTAGGTCAAATGTAGCCAAAGCGTCTTTGACGGGTCAAAAAGGAATCGAAATGACCGTTGACCAGGTCGCCCGCAGTTTTTTTCCTTCCCTCGAGATGCTCTCCTCTCGAAGTTCATTCTCTCTTCGAAGACTGACGAAGACTCACCAATGAATTGGCGCCTTATGCATCATGCTTTGTGGTCAAGATACAGTCATGCAGATTGTGTTAGGTGGCAAATAACCCATGCTGAACCCATGCTCGCCGCAGATAAACTATTCCTTACATACATCAATAATATATGATGACGTTAAATTTGAAGCATGTTTACATGCTTTGGCAAACGTTACTACCCTGAAAGTGTGTATTGGGACCGAGAAGAGACTGGAACACCATCAAAGATACCTCACCGGTAAGTCTCAGCTAGATCCCAAACATAACACTCCATGAGTTAAACACCTGTCGCAATATCTCAAGAACACTTTCAAACATTTACATTCGGAGTCTTTCTCTTCTGTTATCATTGGTGCAGATAGCTTATGTTATAGTAGACATGAGCCAAGGCTGTAGATTCGACGCATCGCTTCTGATAGTTCTCTGTTTGCAGTGTTGAACTTCGGTGGTTTTAAATGGATGGTGTTAATTGCCACACTTCCGACAAAGTGTTACTTCTGGAACGTCGTTGTGTTAACCCGTTGACAATAACTAGGTTGTGACATTCACAATATTTATCGTAAAATTGTTTGATCTCTGGTGACGGCGCCATTCAGCCAGCTTTGTAACTGCATTGGCGGCGACATTGACATGAGAAGAACATCTCGGTTTATCGAGCTGGAGCAGAAAAAGGCGCAGTCATACCCAAATCTACCGTTCGTCATAATGGCGTTATATAGCTGCGTCTTGAAGATATCCAAAGAAAAAAAAAGCTAGCCTATTTTATAGTTTTTTTATTGC